TATTAACTAGCTTAATGGGACAGCCAGATCTGAATGCTCCCCATTTTACCAAATAAAAGAGTATCTTACAGGATTTTCTGATAAAAGACAGGTATCTTCTTTGAAAAATAGTGATGGAGTCATTAATGGTGTAGTGTTTTAGTTTTCTTAAAGTAAAAAGAGGAGTTCAATGATTTTGCATAGACAGGTTTTGTTTCTTAACAATTCTATTTGGCCTCCTGGAAGGTCTGAATGACTTTAGGTGGAATAACCGGATCTGTTTGCTCCTGAGGAGCAGGCGTGAGTCCGCTAAGGAAAGGCAGGAGACAGATGGCCGGCTATTGTGTTACAACCATCATCTGCTGGGCCGTGAGCAAATATTAAGTGAATAATATATACGTAATTGGTGTGAAAGTACAGTTGCAACATTTCTAATTCCGTTTGGAGGATGGCTACTTCTTGAACATTTGTATTTCAAAGAATAGTATATTAAAATGTTTTTGTTTACAGGGTTAATCCATTTTAAACAGCTTTAGAGTGAGCATTTTCCCCCATTTTTGACACCACTGTGCAATATTTTGAATTGAAATGGCCTGTAATGGCCCTTTTTTTATTTTCCATAACAACACGAGCTCTAAATTATAGCTGTGCAATTATGTAAACAATGGAAATGCTTCCAGAATGAATCCTTCCTTTTAAATTTTCATTTTGTGTAATTGTTGGAAGGTTTGGAGCCATAATAAACAAAATTATTTTACACATTTATCGTTCTAAAGGTCAATTATAAGAGAACTAAAGAAACAACACTATGCAAAATGAATAAACCAATTTCTATTGCCATCACCATATGTTTTTCTTATCACTTATGGTTTTTCCAGTTGCTGTGTACATAGCATTCAATTAAAGCGATTCATTTACCAGCCTGAATGCGGTTCATGTTTATAGAACTGTGCTTTGGAGGAGAGGAGACAACACGCCTCTGTTTGAATTACCTGATTTTTGTAAGATCAGTGAGAAGAGACAGATGTTCCCACTAGTTACTTTCTCATAAACCTGAATCTTCTGATAAGCTGCAAATTTGCAATTATCATCTCACAATCTAGTTTTCACACTCAATGTGTAGCATGTGTGTGGACTTTTAACCAAAATAAAGAGGAAAAATACTAGTTTGGTGGTCTGTTCACTATATTACAACATTTTGCAGAATGAATTTTATTTCCTTTGAACAAAAGCCTGTGAAAGAATTTTGTCTGTGCTTCATGCTGGTCAGTTTTCAAGAATAAACTTAATTATTATTTTAGAGCCCGTTTTTCGTTGAGCTTATTGTTTAGCTTATTGTTTTTAGACTGTTTAGAGTGTGGAAAAGAAAGTAATTTTTGCTACCACACTCACTTATTTGGGGTAAATTCTAGAACTCTTTAGAGGAATGAGACCTAGAAAATGCAAAAAGATCATTTTCCTGTTTTTATTTCATTATTTACCTTATAAATTATACGCACTTTGACTAATCTCTGTAATTCTTTGCTAAGGATGTTATTTGAGAGCATTAATTTCTAGAGTTTTTTAACTTCTAGGGTAATGTAATATGAGAGGCTTATTGTGCCACCTTTGAAATGTCTTAAAATGCTGTTTCTGTAGAGCAGCAAAATAATAGTTCACTGAATTCTAAGTATACCTACAAAATAAATTCTAGAAAGTAAAATTCTTCAGAATCCTCCCTTTTTTGAAAAAAATTTTTTTACTTGTCACTCTGATTATTTCCCTATGGCTCTTTTAAGTTTACTAAGGCAAGTGTTCACATCTACTATCCGCTAGATACAACTTTGTAAGAGGGAATTACCCCAGTTTATGGAGGAGGAATGTGGAGCTCTAGGCATGACGTGTTCTGCCGCAATCACACACTCTAGGCCTTGGAACCAGGCCTTGTGGTCCCAGTTTTAGAGTTCTATTCACCACACCAGAGTTTGAGTATAGGGATGTTTCCTGGTGGTCACAATGGAGGCAGCACTGAATGGCATCTAATCACACGGTGGGAACGATGACCCTTTCTCATCTCTGCCAGTCCTCGTGACCCTCAGCAGGTGGGCTGGAGCAGGTATAGAACTTCTGTCACACCATCCTGAGGATGCAAACTGCTGTTTTACAAGGAGAGCCTCCATCAGACAGTGATATTTAGCAAAAATTCAGTAGGCTTGGTTTACCATTATTGTATTGATTTAAGGGTTTTCTATTTATGACACAGGTTACGTGTTTTCCAGAATAATCTTATTTAAGTTCAAAAAAGTGAGTTGCTTCGAAGACCAAATAATGTTCACTTTGGATGTGGATATGACAAAAAGTATGAGAGTTGTACATGAATAATTGATGTTTTAGAAGCACCATCTTGGCCTGTCTATATAGAAAATCCTGGGACTGTGAAGAAAATTTCAGAGTCTCAAGATTTTTATTTTTCCAGAGATTCCAGTTATAGCTGTGATCTTAATGTATCGAGGAGAAAGTGGAAGAAGGATTCTACTAGAAAAGCGTGGAGGACTTTGTAGATGTCCTTCTATTGGGAATATGCAACTGCTCTCTTTGGAGCACCATGCAGTTATTCCTAATTTTAAAATGTTATCAGAAAGATATAATCTTTGGGTTGTTCCTTTTCAGTGTGGATGAGCAAAATAAGCAGGCATATGGCCATAATTTGGCTGACTGGGCATATATTTCCCTCTTTAACCCCCACATTAACCCTACCCCAGTGCTGTCTTTAACTGGCGACAACGGAACAGGCCCCGTTATCCTCGGGGCTCTGTCTTACGTGGGTGGCAGGGTAGGGTAGGCTAGCCATCTGTTATTTTGCCCTCTCTTTCCAATCTTCTTACCCATAGAAACAGGTTCCGTTGAAGTGACTGGCTGAGATCCAGGGGGTGGGGAGCTGTGTGACTTTATCTCGGCTACAACTACACGCATTTCTGCTATCTTTAGCATCAGTGGCAACTTAGTAATTTTTTGTGAATGCTCCATTTACAGATCGTTGCCTTTACACACATATGAATCTTAGGAAGCAAAATGAATTTTGTTTACAAATTCCAGCTTTAGCTTCTTAAAGTATTTAGTGTATAATTCTATAAACTTATCACAGGAAAACATTTTTAAATTAAAACTCTAAATTCCAGTGGTGAAAATGGCTTATTTGATTTACGTATGTGCTAAAGATTTTAAAAATCTACAGAGTTCAAGGCTTAGTTCCTCATCTCAACAGATGGAATTAACACAAACATAACCAAGTTAACATCATGGTTGTTTGCGTTATTAATCTTCAAATGCATGGCATTCTGCTACCTTGCTAGCCAGGTTTGCCCAAATCCTTTCATTGCAGCATATGTCAACAGAAATGCACTTCCATCTGCTGCCGGATAGCTTGGTGCCTGATATTCCGAGACAAGGCCCAGCACAATGCGTACCTCTGTGAGTAATTACAGGTGTGTGGTGAGGAGCCCAGGGCATTAATCAGAGGCTTAATTATGAAAAAGGTGGATCTTTTGTTCCACTCTTGGAGCATGAGTTTACCACACACTTTCTAAACTGCAGCATCCATCTGCTCACCCCCTCAGAGTGTTTGCCTTGGCTGATATGGACCCTAAAGTGTATCAAAGGATGTGATTAAAGCAGGTTTAAACATTAACTTGGAAGAAGCATGGTTAGGGTTTTCTTTACTTTTTTCCTTCCTTCCTTTTATCTGTCTGTCTATTTATGTGTCATTTATTTTTGCTATAGGAAAAAATCTGCTGAAATTCTAACTTCAAATTAGTACTTGCTAAACTATTTACCATGTATGAGCTCTAGCAGAGTAAGCATTGTACAGTCATTTTAAGGTTATAAACAATACGACTTGTGGAAACTAAATGAGGAAAAAAATAAGTCTTTACTTAGAAAAAAATGTTTTGTGAACACACAAAATTTTTCTTTTAGGATTAAAAGTTGTTAAGTGAGGTTACTTTTATTATGATCTTAACACGTTAGAATTCAGCGTGTTGCTACTACTTTGCTCTAATTTAATGAAATTAAATTGGGATTATTTTAAAGGATTTTCCAAATAGCCACACTGAAATCTGAGAAAAGAAACCAGATTTCTTTTTGCATTTTGCTTCTTCCTCATATTTTGAGACTAACTATATGTTGTGTAACCACAAGTCACATACTAACGTACCTCAGTATGTTTGATTAATGTGCGTGGCCTAGAACTGCATAAAAGAAATTTGTGGTTTTCTTAATAATCCCCCTTGCACACACACTAAAACAGATGGCTTCAGAGATGTGGCCTGGCCATGAACACTGTCCAGTAGTGGAGCTCTGGTCTGCCACAAGCTGGAATGAGTTTACTGCCTCAGAACAAAGCCGGTGGGCAGGGGCCAGCCAGCCACTCACCAGTAAGAAGCCATTACAGACACAGGAACACCAGGTGTCTGAGCAGTTGATGATCTTCATGCTGTACCTTGTGCAAACGGTGACGGCTACACTTTATACTTGCACCTCATGATCACACTCAGAGCCACACCAACTGCCTGACCTTAGAGTATGAGCAGTCACCTTACCGTGGCACTCCATACATTCCCGTTGTTTAATACAGGGAATCACCCAAAAAGTGAAAGTCCTCATCTGTTTGTCTACTTTAAGTTTTTTTAATGTAACGGTATGCTTTAACTTTTGAAAATTGAAAGTTATAGATGTTTAGAGGTTTTATTTATATATCTACCTCAATTCTTGTAGCTTGTCCAAGAGGCTCACCTTTAGGTGGAAGATGGAAGAAGTGTCTAGTCCCAGTGCCATGATTTGGATTTTGGACAAGTTGTCTTATAGTTTAGTGTCGCCGTTATCTACCCTGTAAAATGGGTACATTAGTACCCCTTTCACTGAAAACTTTCTGTCCTCTGTGTTCTCTTAGACTATCGTACAGTAGTCATATGTATAGGCAAACTGACTACTTTGGAATTTTGGTCCTGAAAATTACACTTGTGTTTTCTTATCTTCCCTTTTAGGATATCTTAAATACCATTGTAAGGCACTGTCCACCCCGCTTTTTCTCCCTGGGTTTGCCTGGCTTCTCAATGCTGGTGGGGGACTTCATCACGGCCGCTGCCAGGGTCCTCAGTACAGACATGCTGGCGGTGAGTATGACAATGCTCAACATCCAAACTCCCAGGAGGCTTCACAGGCACTAACAAGGTTCAGATTTCTCCACTCTTAACAGGTGTTGACTCATTAGTGCAATGTGAAACTGGGCTCTCGGGTAGATGCCCTGGCAGCTGATGTGTGAAATTGTAGGATAAGATGACACACTCGTATTGGAAAGGCGTTTCATCAAAAGGCCAGAGTGTGAGAAATCATATCCTCACTAATATTTCAGCACATTTACACAGTCAGAAGCAGGACTTGTCTCTTAGAATCTTATTAGCATTTTCCAGTAAATGGTGGCATAGATGCCTGTAGTAAAGAGAGAATTTTAAGTGTACATTATCAATGAGGTTTTCTTTTTATTATTAAGTCTTGGTTATTGTAAGTCTAATGGAAAATACTTCTTAAAATGTTAGAACACTAAAATTTTAACAAGAAAATGAAAATATATTTTCTTAATAATGTGCAATAAAACTGGCAGAATTCTTATTCTAAAAATTAGAAGCAAATAGAGTGTTAGGGCTACAAAAAACATTTATTTGTAATCTCTGCATTTACCTCCACTATTAGGGCAATGTCCTAATGCCTTCTGAGAATACTCTTATACTTTTAAATTTAAAGGGCCTTTCCTGTTTGTGTTCTGTACAGCCATTATTTGCTCAGGCTCATCTTTTTCCTCTTCAAATGGTATAAATAAAATTAGCTTTACCATTTGCCAGGGCCTTGTATTGAAATCAATATGAGTATCTAGCTACCTAAATTTTGTTTGACACATTGTTACGTTTTAGTTCTGCTTATTTCTTTGGTGCCGGGTATATTCAAACTCTAACCCTGAATTTTAAATTAAATTGTTTTTTAATATTTTGTATAGCTGGTATTTCATGCTGGTATTTTCAAGCACTCATTTTTCCTTGTAAGGATAAATTAAAAAACAAAGGGAAAGGAAAAGAGGAGCAAAAGGGAAGCATGAGAGAAGAAAAGGAAAGTAGAAGAAATATGTTGAATTTGTTCAGCTGTTTTTTTGGTAGAGGATATGACAACTTTCATATTTCATTATTTCTGAAAAATATTTTAGGATAATCATTACCAACGAACTTTCAAATTTATTTTTAACCATTCAAAACAACATTGAGAAAACTTACAGGATGCAGGAAGGAAAGTCATACTTCTTTACTGAAATTTTCTTTACTCGCTATGAGAGTTTCCTGTGAAAATGTTGGCACCTTTTCTAGAGATAATATCATGTGTGGTGGTCATCCTCTATGAAAATTTATCTTTTGGCTAGATGAGCTATTAAAGGAGCCTTCCGAAACGTTTTTTAAAAAGGGAGAGAAAAAATATTAAAATGTGAATGTCAGAGTTACATAAGGGAACAGTGACTCTTTGAATTACTTTGAGTTACTCTTTTACTGTAAACTTGAGGTTTAAAATTATAGGAGAACTGGTGAGAGGTGTTTCGGTAGGGCATATCTGCTCAGTCAAAATTTTTGGTTAACGCAAGTTAATCACAAGTTTGGAGTGCCCCTTCTATATAGATCTGCCCTGCTGAGGCAACGAGGGAAAGAGAAATGCAGGCACAAGTAACCAAAAGATGGGTAGGAGCTTGTGCTCAGGAGACATTGTAGTAGCCAAAAACTGGAACCACTCCAAATGTCCGTCAATAATAGAACAGGTAAATTGTGGTGTTCACATAAGATAGAGTATTACAGATAATTCCCTTCCTGTTCCTGACCCTGTAGCTCCATAGAGTCAGACCTGGGTTGAATCCCATCGTTGCTTTGTACTATCCTTGGACGATTATATATCCTTGGGCAATATACTTAAGCATGCAGGCCTCATTTTCCTGTCTGTTAATTGGGGCTCACAATAGGCTCAGTGCTTAGGCAAAAATATTATCTAGATTTACTCCATTCTTTGAATAAAGCTGTGTAACAACTCTTTATTTTATTTAAGAGCTAATGTTTGCATCCAGTTATTATATAGTCTCACATTCAATCTAAAAGTCCACAGTGCAAGCCAAGTCACAGGCTACATCGTAGTTCAAGTCCACTCAGGGAGACGAACCCCAGCGAAGTCTAAACCAAGACTGTCTAGTGGGTGAAGGACAGCAGTTAGTGAGGACTGACAAAGCAAGGTGTGTTGTAGAAACATTTACCATGGACCTACTATGTGCCGGATCCGTGCCCTCAAGGAATCAGACATGTAAACTAGTGTTACTGTTTGCACATAAGTTTCTAGCGGCCACAATAGAATCACATCCAGAACCCAGAGGAGCACCAAAATAGGAGTAGTTAATTCTGCTTGGTGAGAGGTGGAAGGGAAGACACACGTTAGAAAAGTCTTCCTGGAGGAAGTGATGTTGAAGCAGAGAAAGGTGATCAGGATTCACTCAGTAAATAAGGACAGCAGCAGCCACCCCTTATCTCAGGGCAGTGTTTATTGAGCATCCAATGGGGTAGAGAAGTGATAAAGACTGTCTAACCCCTTCGTCTCACAGGGAACACAAACATTAAATGAATATTTAATGTATCAGGAAGTGACAAATGCAAAGAAAAAACCCAAAGCAGGGATGCTGAGAACACGAGGTGGAATGACACAGTGCCTTGAATTTGCTTTAAAATATTGAAAGTGGAAACTTTTAAGTGAATATTTAATGTTGGAATGAAAAAGTGAAAAGGAGATAGATGAGGCAAGAGTGGTAAAATCGTGAATCTAGGTGTTGCATACTGTATATGGATATAACCTTCTTTCTACTTTTATGTTTAAAGTTTTTCTTAAAAATAAAAGTAAAGGCAGCAGATGAGAGGACAGAATGATGGAGGTGAAGTAGTGTTACACAGAATTACAGAGCTCCGTGGTAAGGTGGAGCTGTCAGTATGAGATGCCTACTTGACCCCGTAGTGGAGACGTCAAACAAGCAGCTGGATCTACAAATACGGACTTCAGGAAGGAAGTCTGGGCTAGAGAGAGATGCCGGCGAGTCTGCAGCCTGTAGGAGGCTTTTAAATCCATGGATCTGGATATCCCTTGGGAGTGAGTATAGATTTAAGAGAGAAGAGGGCAAAGAACTATGCCCAGCATCCCAGAGTTTAGATCCTGAGGGAAATGAGAAGTTCCAGCACAGAGACCATCAGATCTCCTTGAGAACCAAGAAAGGTGTCCCAGAGGCCAAAAGATTAACGTGTTCCCAGGTACAAGAGAGCCATCAGCTGCATCCAGTGCCACCAAGGGGTCAAGTGAGATAAGGCCTGGATGGTGACCACTGGGTTTTGCATTGTGGAAGTCATGTAACAAGAAATTCTTTACTCACTAACTGACTTTGGCAAATCCTAACATTTTGCTGTAGTAGTTTCAAATCTTTATATTTAAAAAACTAAGTAAAGCATTAAAAATATAGTGACTTCATCCCTGATGCCATTGCCCCATTTGGAGCTGTCATCACTCTTGCCTAGACTATACATCAGTGACTGCCTGATACTCTTCTCTCCCTGAGAGCATCCATTTGCACCACACCGCTGCTGGGGTTAGGAGTCTGACAGCATCACTCCTCAGGCAGAATGAGATGAGGACTGTGCCATGTGGCCTGTGGGTCTTTCCAAGGTGGCCCCTTTCTCAGACTCCTCCTACTACAGCTTTCCCAGTTCCTGTATGCACACTCACATGTTCTCTGGGCTCTGTGTACGTGGTACCTTTTACAGCTCCACAGGTGCCCTGGGTGCCTTTGTCTTTTCTATTCCCACTGTCTTCATCATGCCTCTTGCCTCCTCAACTTACTCCCTAGCTCTCCACCTGCCTAGCTGACTCCTACTCTGCCAGATGACTCTTCATAATAGTCTGTTTTAGTGTTTACAAACCATCTGAACACAACAAATCATTGCCTCGCTTGGGTTCCCATAGAATATCTCTCTCTGTGTTTTATATTGCCTTTTATTTATGTGGTTCTGGTGAGACTAAGCGAGGTAAAAAATGAATCTACTGGGATCTCGTCATATCCTCAGTATGTGGCTCTCATAGCACATGTTCCATTGAATTGTACATAACTATTTGCCTCTTCTCCCCAACCCCACACACCAGCTGTCATCTCTCTGAGGGAGGGAAGCTCTCTGTCATTTCATACCCCAAGTGCTTAACAGTACAGGCCCAGTGTGGACTCTGGAGTTAGATGGCCTCAGTTCAAATCAGGGTCTGTCACTTGAAAAGCTACTTAATTTCTCTGAGCCTTAGTTTTCTTACCTGTAAAATGGAAATAATAATAGTATCCACTTCATTGGCTTGTTGAGGGCATTCTGTGAGAAAATGCTTGTATAGCACTTGGAACAATGCCTAGCACAGAGTGAGAAGTCCTTAAGTGTTAGCTGCCATTGTTGTAATTATTAGGTACAGTAGATAGAGGGATGGATGGACAGGCGAGTGGGTGGATACACATACCTTTGTAGTCCTGGTGCCCGCCCCCATTCTTGGGTAATCATAGATGCTAGTAAGTGGTGGCTGAATTGAAATCTAGTGAAGTGCCTCCTTTAATATATACCTAATTCCAGCAATGGACAAACAAGTGATTTTGTATCTCAGTAGATGTCAAATGCTATGTTATTTTGCAAAGTAGTTCTTGGTGAAACAGAACATATGGTAGCTGGTGTTTTCTCTTCTTCTCTACTTTCTGATAGTTAGCCCCAACCCCTCTTCCTTATAAATTTTCATTAACTCTCTTCACAGTAAAAACAATATTAAGTTGATATCACTTACCCTGTTTTGTCAAGAAGATTGACTAAAAAAAAAGGTAAAACACTCATGACTGAATTATTTGCTTTTCTGACTCTAAATGAATCTGCAGACCAGTTTTCACAATGCTTGTTTATATCCAAGTATAGTGATCTTTTCCATTCCTTGGAAATTTGCTTTTTTCGTTTAGGAAAACCTCTCGCTTAAATATTCACCTAGTGGAAAATAACCAGGCATAGTCTGATATTTCTTAGCTAGGATAAGATAGTTATAAAGATTCTCTCTCAAAATCGTGAAAAAGTAAAACATGTTGTCACTTATCTAAAGTTTCTAACTTTCAAAAAGAAAAATGTGTTTTACTTTTTTTGTGTGCAGGCGCCTCGTTCAGAAGCTCTCACCATTCTTGGTTCTCTTGTCTGCTTTCCAAATGCCTACCGGGAGATCCCTCTACTGCAGTCAGTGCCAGAGGTTAATGAAGTCATTACAGGAGCCAAAGATGTCAAGGTACATGATGTTTTGACTGAATCTCAAGCTTAGCGTTTTATACCTCTAGCTATGTGGTTCTCTCTTCCATTATTATACATTGATCTACTAATCCCTGAAAGTTTTGCTATATCATTTAATGTTTCAATGGTTGTTTTTTCAGAAGGCTGTTTTAGGGGGATTAAATATATTAGACTCAGAGCATATTGCCATTATAACTGATAGGTTCCTTGAGTGTTTTTTATTAGATCTGTTTGTCATGCTTACAGATCATAATTATGTAATGAATCCTTCTTTGTAATAATTTTATTAATTATGCTGCATTAGTGCATTAGTTGAATTTATGAGAAATAATTGAAATAAGCTAACTATTCAAGCCCATTGTTGGCCTGATTAAATACTACTAATAATTTGAAATTCCACATTATTCCTTGGAGAATAAAAGTAAGCATTTCTTCTCTTCTCAACTGACTTTGGGGCAAACAAAAATGTTTTTCAAATCCTGGAATCAATCAGCCTACCTGTAGTAGGTGGTTACATTATGTGATTCAGGGTACAATAGATAGTCCAATTGAAGTAAAAGGAAACTGAGATTTTCCTATCTGGAAGCCTCACTTGCTTTGCTAGGTTTTTCTTGTATCCAAGAAGCTCTCTTTTCTAGGCCGGCTTCATTGCCCAGGGCGGCCCGCCTGAGACCACCTTCGTCATGCTGTTCCTCCGAGCCTTCTGTTTCCTTCCCCCCAGGTTCTCCCCGAGGGAGCCTCTCAGAGCTCCTTGGTCCTTCACTAGCTCCTGACTGCCTGGAACACGGTCAGAACATGTGGGAAATCAACTGTGAAACAAAGTTTTTATTTTACTTAATTTTGTGTTTTTAGCATTACCTCATAAATATTTTACTGAAGAATGCCACAGAGGAACCAAATGAATGTGCAAGGTAAATGTTGAATAAAAGGTAAACTGTTTTAGAATTTTAAGACACACATTTATGTGTAAACAGTTGATGTTAAAAAACACTTATTCTTCCACATTACTCTTAGACATACTAAAAAGTATACTAAGAATTATGTCAGGAAGATGTTGTACTTTATTTTTTAAAAAGGTGTCGTTATTAAGTAAATATAGTAAGATGCAGAAGATTATACGTAGTATGCTACCTTTAATGTAAGAAAAAGCAAGATTAAGAATGTATTCACGGATATTTTTAATAAGTAATAAAATGGAAGGATAAACCACAAACTTACAAAAATGATATACATATAGGGTAGCGATTCTCAACCAGAGGTGATTTTTGTACCCTAGGAGACATTTGGCAATGTTTGGAAACATTTTGGTTGTTTCTGCCAGGCATCTGAGGTTGCTAGCAGTCTGTGACCAAGGTGTGAGGCTTTCTTGGCCACCTTTTGTGGTTAGTGCCATTAAGTAAATTCCAACTCCTGGCGACGCTGTATACAGCAGAGCGGAACCCTGCGTAGTCTTTTTGCGCCATCCTCTCACCTTCTGGCACTGTATCAGACAATGCTCCACTGCTGTTCACAGGGTTTCCATGGCCAATTCTTTTCAGAAGTGGATTGTCAGGTCTTTCTTCTGGACTCCTTTCAGCAGAGTCTAGAAGCTTTGCTAAACCTATCCACCATGGGTGGCCTTGCTGGTATTTGAAATACCGGTGGCCTAGCTTTTAGCATCACAGCAACATGCAGCCGCCACAGTAAGATAACAACAGATGGGTGGTGTGGTTGCCTGACCAGGAGGCAAACCTGGGCTGTGGAGGTGAGAGCACCGAATCTTTTTTTTTTTTTTTAAAGATTTTTTTTTTTTTTTTTCCCTTTTTCTCCCTAAAGCCCCCCGGTACATTGTTGTGTATTCTTCGTTGTGGGTCCTTCTAGTTGTAGCATATGGGACGCCGCCTCAGCGTGGCTTGATGAGCAGTGCCATGTTCATGCCCAGGATTCGAACCAACGAAACACTGGGCTGCCTGCAGCGGAGCGCACGAACTTAACCACTCAGCCACGGGGCCAGCCCCGAGAGCACCGAATCTTAACCACTAGATTTCCCCAGGTCACCTACATGATGAAAAATTTCTACTTCTTCTCCCAAGGTAAAGCCCAAAGCAGGGAGCACTGGTGAAAGGGAATTATCCTTTCTGATCGTTAACCTCCAACCCCATGAGGTCCGCAGAAGCCCACCTCAGCCTCCTGCTGCCTCCTAGGTATTGGCTCGTGCCCTGCTCCCTGGTCTAGGCTCATTCCAGTTTAGCAGCCTATCACCCGTCACTGTCTTGTTAGCTCTTTGATGATTTTAACGGATTCCTTCTTTTTGTATTTTATCTAACTTCTTCAGTTGTCTTCAGTGGATGGTTTAGTCTAAATTTTCTAGTCTGCCATTACTAGAAGCTATAAATTCATTATCAGTTTGCTAATATTAAAGTAACTTTGCGTTTTGGGATAAACCCAGCTTCATTTATACAGTGCTGGATCTGGTTTGACTAGTGTTTTGTTCCGGGAAGTTGCATGTACATGCGTGTTCGTGGCCCGTAGTTCTCTTTTACCATCCTGTCCTCATCAGGCTTAATTGCGAGGTTATATAGTCTCACAAAATAAGTGAAGTATTGTTTCATTCTCTTTAGTCAGCAAGCGTTTTTGTAAAATTAGAGTTCTTGTGTATTTAGTAGACCTTAATGGTAAAACTGTCTAGGTCTGGTATTTTCTTTATGAGAAGGTTAACCACTGACTATTTTCCTCATTGATTTTAGGAATATTGAGGTTTTCTTCTCTTTTTTTTGAACAGTTTACATAAACTAAAATTTTCTAGAAGTTTGTCCGTTCCAAGTTTTGAAATATACTGGCATACAGGATGTGTCCATTGTCTTCTTACAGTCCTTTATCTCTTTCACTTTGTAACTATATGCATTTTTTAATCTCTAACACTTTTTATGTGTTCCCTGATTTTCCCCACTAGACTTGCCACAGATTTGTCAACTTTATTCATCTTTTTAAAGAATAGACTTTTGTCTTTGTTCAGCCTCTCTGTTCTATATTTGTTTTTATTTCCTACTTTCTGCTCTTTTTTATGTTCTTTCTCCTACTTTGTTTATACTCCATTATTCCTTTTCTTACTTTTTAAGTTGCACATTTAGTATATTCTCAGCCTTTCTTCTTTACAAATACAAACATTTAAGTCTACATGTTTATTTCGAGGTACAACTTTATCTGAGTTCTGTAAGTTTTGGTGCGTAATATTTTCCATTACAAATTTTCTCCAACTTCCATTATGATTCCTTCATTGAGTCATGGTTTATTTAGAAATATATTTCTTAATTTCCAAACAGCCAGTCATTTCTGTTTATCGTTTTGCTACTGATATGTTAGTTAATTGCATTGTGGATCCAAAATGTTGTCTGACTGATAACAGTCTGAAATTGTTGAGATTTGCCTTATGACCCAATATGTAGACAGTTTTTGCAAATATATCATATATGCTTGAAAAGAATGTGTACACTGTTCTCCATTTGTTGAGTGCAGTGCTCCAGATGTGTCCATTAATTTTTTTAACCATATGCTTCAAATATTTCATATCCTTTCTAATTTTTTTTCATCATCTTAATAATTTACTGAGAGAGAGATGTTAAAATCTCCTACTATTATGGTGCATTTATCTATTTCTCCTTGTATATCTGCCTATTTTTGTTTTATATATTTTGAAGCTATGTTATTAGCTGCATAGAAGTTTATAATTATCATCTCTATAGTGGATCAAATCTTTTATATTTATATAGTGACACTCTTTATCTTTAAGAATGATTTTTTTATGTTAAAGGCCACTTGTCTGATATTGATTCAGCTATTTTTTAATAATATTTTCTATGTTTTAAAATTTAACCTTTTTATATTGTTCTTTTTAAATCTCTTTGCAAAAACTGTACATACTTGATTTTATGCATTTACCCTATTTGATCTTTATCTTTTAACTGAAGCTTTAGTTCATTTACATTTATTACAATTACTGAGATATTTGGATGTATTTCTTACATCTTATTTTATACTTTGTTCTTATTCCTTCTTAATATTTCTTTCATTTTCTCCTTTTTATTTCGTTTGGTTTTTTATCTTCTTTTCTTTCTCTCGTTCTTTCTTTTTTCCTTCCTTCCTTCTTTCTTTTCTTTCAGATTGATTATATTTTCTACATTCCATTTATTACCTCTATTTTTGGAATTTTCAGACTCTCAGTTCTTTTAGAGGTTACCTTAGAAATTTTAATATGCGTACTTCTATTTCCTAATTCTGAAGTTAGTCTGTCTTTACCCTCTTCCTGAATAATGCCAATTCCTTAGAACATCATCTGATGTTGCTCCTACAGCTCTACAGCTGCTCCTTCCTGGTATCCCTCCTCTACTTAACCCCTGAATGTTAGAGTGACTCAGGGTTCAGGGCTGGTCTGCTTCTCTCTCCATCACTTTCTTAGGTGCTCTTATTTATTCTAACCAGACTTTAAATACCACCTACTTACTGATGATACTGAATTTATTTACCTAGACCCTTCTGTGAACCCCCTAGATATTCAGGCTTATATATTAAACTGCCTACTTGACATCTCAACTTGGATGTCTTAGCACATCCAAACTTAACACAACCATAACTGAACCTTGAGTCTGCTGTCTGACCCCAAACCCTTACTTTCCAGTAAATGGCACCATTATCTACCCAGATTTTCAATCCAGAAACTTGAGGAAAATCCTTGTTTTTCCCATACCCACCACATTCAGAACTTCAATAAATATTGACAATACTTTTCCCCCCCTTTTTCTTTGGCGTAGAAAGCCAAATTTCTCGAGGAGTTAAAAATGGAATAGAAATGTGTGATATTGTCAGTCTTCCTTAGCTGTGTATAAAAGGAGTTAGACAATGAAATTAAGTCCATGTAAGTGTATGTAAGCAAGCAGACTGAAATATGATCAATGTTGCAAATAAATGGAGGATAATTAACTTAGAATATAGTTATAACTATGTGATAATTTAGAAAAATTAAGGAAAAATAATACATTTTTGTTATATAAATTGGAGTGATATGAGGTAACAACAAATAGTATCAAAAGAGTGTGTTAGAATACAGAATGAGAGTGAAGATAGTATTGCCATTAGCTAAAAAAAGAGTCTTGGTAGATAAAACTCATTTGGGATCACAAAGGACGTATTTGGAATATGGAGAACCTTAATTGACAGGAATTCCTAGACATGAGGAGTAACAAAGTATTAGAACGGGAAGATACTAAGTAGAGTGTTAAATGATAAATTTCAAAGAGATAAAATTGTATGAAAGAGCCGTTTATAAGCTAGCGTGGTTTAAAACTCAAGGCAAATAAGGGTCGTTTAGATTGTAAAATCATTTTATGGGTCACAAACATTCTCCATAGTGCCAGGCTAAATGGTTACAGAGTAATGCAGGTGTTCGTAGACATGAGAGAGGTTTGTTCTTAACAAATTATATTTAACAAATAGGTTACTGGGTTGTAAAAAATAAATGTGTAGTCTTAAAATGGTGAAAATATGATTTTGGATATAATTCCAAGTTGTATAGATTTTAGTGGGTTGAACAATCAGTTTGAGTTAAGCTGAGGGGGGAATAAAGAGGCTTTTGGAAAGAATATAGAATACATGGGAATTACTGCAAAGATAAGAATGCAAAGTGCAGTTTCTTGACTGAGAATAAGGGTAGGAGTTAGGCAAGAGAGATAAATTTAGACAGTTCTACACAGTGAGGAAGTCGAGGATTAGGGTTGTGTGGAACTCCGTGCTGCTGTTAGAAAAACAAAAGGGCCTGGCACACCTTGCACACTGCATTGCCCTGCTTTTACTGAGTAAATTTTGGTGGATGGTGACATGGTCTCCAAAGGGTTTTTAATTCATTTAAATAAACTAGTTATGAAGCACTTTGTCTATCTTAATTTAAACAGATGAGAATCCAGTGGAATATGGTGGTTTTAAAACCTCAAAGTATATTGATTTTAATTGCTGAATTATATCGAATACAAAGGAACTTTCAGTATGGAGAACTGGACAGTATTTCTGGTTTGATTGGCACTGGATGTATCCTCTTCTTACAAAGAACAACATGTACATATTACAGCTAATGTCTGCTTCCAGGTTGTAGTTTGAATCCTGCAAGTGAGCACATTTGGGAGCAAGTATTTTAATTTTATATATGGGCATTCAGAAAAAATTAACAGGAATATGAGTTTTTGATCATTGCAAAAGATAGTGGAGTATATCAATTTCAAAGAATTTTACCATTTAAAATTGATAATTAAGATAATTTTTAAAGAACTGTGCAACTTAAAGAATATTTTTTCTTAACACATTGTTTAAAAGAAATAGCAGTGAAATTTATTTTTATTTTAAAAGTTGTATTCAGATATTCTTTACAATAAAATACAGGATTTGTCTTCTGTTTGTGGTAGGTGTTGTGTATTTTATTGTAAGGAAAACCATTACAAACTCAGCTTCTAACAATTTCCTAAGATTCATCCTCAAAAATATCTTGAAGAAATAAAATATAATAAAAATTAGTTTCAGCAAAAATAAGTGATATATGGGCTGTGACAACAGAAAATATACCATTTATTTCATTAAGTCTTTATGTGCTAACTATTACCAGTATTTCTGTTTGTCCTGAAAATACTATTTGAAAGCCTATTGAGAGTATCTCATCTTCTCTCTCAAGAAGACATTCTGTTAATGTATCTATAATTTTTGCTACTTTATATAAAAAGATTTAAAATATTTTGTCATTTGAAAAAAACCAAGAAAATACATTAAATTTCATGAGCGTTTTCCTCCTTTTCCTTCTCTTTCAAAAGATGCATTGCCATTTGCTCCCTTGGGGTCTGGATTTGTGAAGAACTTGCGCAGTGTACAAGCCATCCTCAGCTGAAAGCAGCCATCAATGTGATAGGTGTCACTTTGAAGGTATTACCAGTTTGTGATGTGTACTTGACATTAAGCTAGATCCCATTTTTAGTTTGAATTAGCCCCATCTTTATTTTCCCCTACCTTACAGAGAGGTTGGGATTCAAAAGTTCTTTTTATGAGAGCCATGTTGAATGTGTTGTGAGGTTCCCAGGAGAGCCCACCAACGGCTGCTTCCCCTCTGGCAGCCACAACCCGGCTGTCCATAGCATGAGCACTCATGGCTTTAGCCTGAGCCCAAGCCTGGTGGCCAGATGGGGTTCCTCTGGTGACTGGGCAGCTCCTGTGGCAAGCAAGATAGCTGTCACCTTCTGGTGGGAGTGACAAGAAAGTGGAATTTCATGCTCTGGTGTCTTCAGCAGGACTTGGAGAGACCTGACAGTCCCAGTTAGCGGCCCTGAGTGCTCGCCGTCCAGCTGGGCCGTGGGCACTTTTAGGACATCTTTTTCCCTTTCTTTATTAATGAGAAGAAGGGCTACCATTTACTGGGCACTCCCGCTGGGCCAGATTCATGGCAAAGTTTCTAAATACTTTTGTTAATCTTCACAACAGCTCTGCAGAGTAGATGTTATAATCCCTTTGACACGCCAGAGGAAAGCAAAGCCCAGAGTAATCAGGTTGTGAGCCCATAGCCATGTAGGTATAACGATGGAACCAGCACTGAGAGCAGAGCTGTGTGACAGTAAAGACACACCTGAACTTCTATATGCGCTGTTAGGCCACTTCCTACAACAGAGCTCAAATCCTGCTGTGTCCTTTCTGGCTCCTGCTTAGAAATGGTGGTAATAATTAGCGTTGCTGTTGTTACACCTTCAGAACCAGGGAGTGCCCAGTCCCTGCGAGGCACTGTGCTGACAGTTTGTGCAAGTTCTCAGTTGCAAAGTAAGTGCCCCGTTTTACAGTGGAGGAACTCAGGTGCAGGAGAGTTAAGGACCTTGTTCCAGGTTCTTGCTTGCCCTTCTCTGCTGCCTGCCACGTGCTGCTATAATAGTAACAGCCATTGCAGCTACCCTTGGGATAGTTATCCCCAAGCCAGCAACAGTCCCTATGTCACCCTTTGTGCATTATCTGCTTCAGCCCACAGGATAACCAGCCAGGGGCGTCCCCTACCCATGCCTTGGCTTCCAGCCCCTGCCTGCCTTTGCAGCCTGATTTCCTGGCAGCCCTCCTCACCCACCCCTCCCCCTGGCCAAAATTGGTGCCTCCAGTTCCCTAAGTGTGCCCTCTGACCACTCTACTTGTCACCTCATCCTCCACAACACCTGGGGATGCTCGTTATATCATGAGAGCTGGAAAAACTCTTGCTGCTGATCCCTGTGGTGAGGAATGGAAAATTGCTCAAACCAAGGTATCACTTAGGGGTGCTCCCTCTGGCCTGAGCATGGTGCCAACCCCTGACCTTTGTTATGTGTTTAATCCTTGGAATCATCCAATGAGATGAAGGGTTACTAGCACCTCCACTTCACAGATGAGGAAAATGAGCTGAGTGGGAACTAAGGAGCTTCCCAGGGTTAACCCAGGATGCTCTGGCCCCACGTTTGGGCTTTTGCACAACTGTGGTGTTCAAGACACTCCCCCTGACTCCCAAAGACCTGGAGAAATATTCACATATAATTATTAAAGTGAAAAAGGTTGGATATCAATTGTATATCTATAGCTTCCAATTCACTTTTTTAATCCCCATTTTTCTCAATTCTAAGATCTATTTCTCAAATTTTAATCTTTCTTAAATCTAGAAATGTATATTTAATGTGATATGGTTCCTCCACCTCTACACCTTTCCTGGAAAAGGTGTTAATAATTTAATGGTATCTTAGAATGAAGATACTTCTACATATATGGTTTTATATAGTATAGAAGAGAGAGAGGGACTTTGAAACAAGAGTAGAAGGATATAAGATGGCTTACATTTTTTCTTTATATTTCCACAAATTTTCAGGAGTTTTTGTAGTTTTTCTATAATCATGAGGAAAAATATAATGGCACCAGAAAAATGTGACTGCCATGTATTGAGCCCTTGCTCTGTCAGGGGTGTGCCAGCACAGTGCATGGACTGTCCATAGAATCCTGCCGCTCCTGGGCCGGTGCTGCTGCTCTCCCTATTTAAGAGATAAAGGAGAAAGTGACTGACTGAGGGAGGCCAAGGAACTTGCTCCAGCTTGAACTGCTGACAAATCAGAGGGCCAGGATGAGCCAAATCAGTCTCCCTTTAACCATTATTAAGAACAGAGGAAGACTCGTGACTTAAGTCCTGGTCTCTGGGACAGCACCCGCCCCCCCTCCCTCTGATACCTCTGTTGCTGTGCCAGTTGGGTTTTTACCGAAGGACTTAGTGCATAAATCTAAGAGAACCAAGGACAAGAAGGGAAACGGTCGCCACAGGAGCAAGGGGACAGCAGCCACTCTGAGAAAAGGGGCCTAAGGGAGGCTTGGGGCTCTGCCAGGAGGGAGAGAGGTGGAGGGAGAGGAGGAGGTGGCAGAGCAGGCAGTTGGGGGCACGAGCCCTGGAAGGGTTCCTGCCTTACGGGCTTCACACAGCTCCAGGCACTGCTCTGCTGTAACTGTGTCCCTCAGAAACAATGGGTGCGGTCAACCCAGGTGTTCCCTCAGTTGTGGGAAGAGCATGGTCAGCATGGGCTAGGGAAGTGTTCCCCAAGGGGTGTAGATGAGAACCAGCCTGCCCCTACAACAGTGAATGGGAACAGTCTAGCTGCGCAGCCGCCTGGAGAATTCCGCTGGGCTAGTTGTTTGCTTCTGGTGGGGTAGCCTGTCAGCAGTGGAGGTGGGGAGTTGATCTAAGCTGAAGCCAGACTTATACACTTAGCATCCCATTGAGGAAGAGGACGTGGGCTGAGGGCACTAGAGTGGCAGCATGGGCTCAAGCTCAGGTGAGTTGCCTCCCAGGCACCTGAGTGAGAGGAGGCCTGACCTGAGCCCCCGCCCTCAGTTCCACCTGCTTCTCCTTTCTCTTACCCCATCTTATGAGACATCATTGACCTTCTCTCCTCCTTACCCCACCACCCTCTCCAGTCACAGTCTTGCTGCCCCAGGGCCATCTTTTACCTGGGCTAGCTCCCTGTACCGGAAACTGAGCTTCCTAACACCTCGCCACGCCATGGCCCTGGTTTAGCCCCCAACAGATCTGCCCGCCATACTGCCACCGGAGGGATCTGTCCTTCAGAGTAAGGACTGTATCTGCCTGGTACATCGTGTGCCCTGTGCTTTTAATTCAGTGCTGGCACATTGTCAGTACTCCATGAATATGTGCCCAATGAGTGCGTGAGTGAATGAATGATTTATTTCATCCTGCCATTCCCCACAGCACTCATCTGTCAGTAATACTATCCCACTTCTGACCCTCCGCACTCACCTTTCTTGCCTAAGTGCCTTGCCCGGCTGCCCACTGCCTGAAAGGAAAGACTCTGGCTCTGCATTCCTCCAGTCTTAGCCCAGCTCTTCCCTCCCTCTTTGATGCTTTCTCTCTGCTATCTGCCCCTCTCTCTCTCACATCACCCCTTTCTGTCCATAGCCTTTTTGTCTTGTCTGCCATAGCTTTCATTTCATCATTTTCCTCGTCTGTTTCTAGCCTGATGTTTCTATGACTTGGCCATGACTTGATTGCTCTGATGCAACAGAAACACACCCAGCGCCCACTCGTCTTCTTCCATTCCCTCCATGTTCTATCCTCACCTCAAACACACCATGCATTTTCCCTCAGGGGGCTGTGCTGGACATTAGGAATACAGTGGTGAGTAAGATGCAGGAAAATAAACACACAAAAGAGCAAGCAGACAAACACAAAAGATCAGGTCTGATAGCTTTTGATACCATAAAAAATCTATTACAGGGGAACTGGATGGAGCTGCAGACCTGGAGGGGGTAGACTGCTACTCCTTTGGATGGGCATGGTGGCCCTCTGAAAGAGATAACATTTAATGCCATGATTTAAAAGATATGGCAGTGCTGGCCAAATGCAGACCTGGGGAACAAGTCCCAGGCAAAGCAGGGAGCAGTTGCAAAGGTCCTGGGACAGAAACAAGCTAGAACATTTGAGAGATGGGAAGAGACCCATGAGGATCAGGTCGTCTGGAACTTCGATGGCCAGAGGAGGCTGTGAAGAGCCCCTTGAGTGCACATGCTCTTGCCCTAGGTTCACCTTGTGCCTGTCAGGGAGGGGCAGTCAGTAACTGTTTATTCTGTAGAATTAAAAAATTGATCATCTTTCCCTTACCTTCTTCCTTATCCTGTGCATTTGTCAGTGAGATGCTAAATGTTGTCTTTTCCTTGGTGTTTATGTGTTGCTCATGTCAGCTGGTGTCTGCTTCATGTGACTTGGAGTTCTTGGTGTAGAAGTACCTAAGCTACATATCCAGAAGTTTCCCTAGAGAAAGATGCAGAATCAGTGACAAACCTCTCTTCTCTAGATAACGAGATATGGATAGCAGGGTAGCCCAGGTTCTGACCAAGGAGAGAAACACAGGATGCCCTCATCCCTCTTGTGCATCCCCAGCCAATGGTCCTTACAGGTACTGCCCCTTAGACATACCATCTCACAAGAAATAGAAGCAGCCAGAGGATCTTGGACACAAGCCAGACTCAGAAAACATGCTCAAAGTAATTGAATACGGTGTTGTGTTGCTTAACGACAGGAAGACATTCTGAGAGAGGCGTTGTTAGGCGATTTTGTCATTGTGAGAACATCACGGAGTATACTTACACAAACCTAGATGGTATAGCCTACTACATATGTAGGCTACGTGGTACTAATCTTATGGGACCACTGTTGTATATGCAGTCTGTCGTTGACTAAAACGTCATTGTGTGATGCATGACTGTGTACCATAATTTATGAATTATGTTCTCATAGTCCCAAATTTTTCACATTTCTTAGTATCTTATGCATGCAGATTAAGTTTAACTTCATAGGATAGAAAGTCATTTGATTGATCCCTGTTTCTCCATGTGTAAAATGAAGATACCATCTCCCGTGCAGAGCTGTTAATGAAGAGTTATCAATGTGAGAATGAGTAAAATCCTTGTAAAAGGTTCAGCACACAGGGGATAGTCAATAATTTGCTAAGTTTTAATTTCCTCTAATTGTCAAAACTATGATTTATATGATCTGAAGGCTTTTGAAATTATTGTTTTAATTTCCAAGTGATTAAATGACAGCTGCCTGTTTCTGTATGTTATGTAAACTAGTACAGCTAGTCTAGACAAGAGGCAGTCAAGAGTAGGGGCTGTGTATAAACTATCTGGTAATAGGATACATGTTTCATAAATTTCATGCAAAACAAGGAAGTGTATCCCTATATGGAGCTGGAAAGAAAGAACTGTTTTCTTCTTCCTTAGAAATAATGTACATGTTAAATTGGGTCATTTACTTTGGGGTTTTGTTTCTTTCTATAGTTTCCTAACAAAATCGTGGCTCAGGTAGCCTGTGATGTTCTTCAGTTGCTGGTTTCCTACTGGGAAAAGCTTCAGATGTTTGAAACCTCTTTGCCTCGGAAAATTGCAGAAGTAAGTCTTTTTCTTGTAATGCTAAAATGTAAGCATTTCCTTTAATATATTTGATATTTAATTAATTATAGATACTCAGATAATTGTTAGAGAACTGAGTATTAAATTGCCATATGAGTCATTCATTTTAAGATTAAAGTGCACTGGATCTTCTCAGCTGTGATTTCAAGCACTACGTAAAGAAGCCACCAGTGTTTCAGGGCAGAGCCTTACACTTGGGGAGTTTGAAAGGCAGACACGATCACAACAAAGAGACCTTTTGTAGATTGGGCTTCATTCATCAAGAGTAATTTGGATGGTGCCAACAAGAAGTAGGCAGCTGGTTATGATGCCCTCCATGTGGGGGCGGGGCTGGGGGCATGGTTGTGTAAAACAGGAGTCTCTCCCAGACTGAAGCCCCTACCATGCGCTCTGCCGTTGCATGATTACTCAGCTCTAATGAGATTACTACTATAATACCCTCTGTGGGGTAATTGGTGGAGTAGAAGGACAGAAGGACCAGGAAGAATCATCTCAAGGATAATGTCCTGGAGGTCAGCGACATTTCAGGGTGCTCTGTGTGTACAGGAGCAGGGACCATCATCCTGTGGGTGCCTAGTGGTGAGGCACAGCCGTTCCTGCCTCTTGGTATAGCTGCACTTTTTAAAACATGCTCTGTTCTTTACACATCCAATGGTACCTCTTCAAGGAAATTTGATTTTCCTCCATGTGGTGTTATAGGGAGAAAGAAGAGAGATTGATTTATTTTCTCTCAGCCCTAGACAGATTTCACCAGTGAGACCACTTTGGTCTCTCAAAGATACATCAGAAATCGTAAGTGATTTTCGACCTTATGAGACCTAGAGTGAAATAGAACTTTGGACATAGCAATATAAGATTCTGCAAAATGTAAAGTTGCGTTTTAGGGCAACCATATAATTTATCTTCCAAACAGCAATACCTTTGAGAATGAAAGGGATGCTGTGACACAAGGATGGCAGGTAGAGAACTGGGGTATTTATAAGATAATTAAATGGGAGCATTTTCATAATTATTTTTGAAAATACTTTTTGCTTTCATTGTGAAAGGTGTGGAGGCCAATGATGGAAATTGTCTGACTACAGAAATATTCCTTTCTCTGGGGCCCCCAGTTTGACCATCAGTAAAGTCGAGTAGAAACCAGGCAAGGCCCCATTGCCTTCCCCGATTTTCGAGATCATGCATATCTCCAAACTGGCTCTTTGCTTTTTGTCACCTTCCTCTAGGGAATTGACACCAAGCTGGATTTAGTTGCAAAGCTGTCTTGGGACTCCTATCATATGGCTTCTAAAAGTATTACTATGGTCTGTTTGATTGGGGATTTGTCTTTTATGCAGATCCTTGTGGCCACAATTGCTTTTCTTTTACCAAGTGCGGAGTACTCCTCAGTGGAAACAGATAAGAAGGTAGGTGGCATATTAACTAAGTTTTCGCTAGAGTTTGTTTTTAAATATGTAAGACAGAATGATGAATGATGTTACGTGTAGCGATATCCTTTATAATATTTTTCTGCATTGGCTCTAACAGTCTCTCCTATGCAAACTTTGTTCATGCATTCATTCCTTTTGCATTTGTGTGTCCATTGAATAATTACTTTTGTGCAGCGACAGTTCTGTTGTTTGTTATTACATGTAGTGAAGTTTAAGAGACTGCAGTATATGGTACTGGGCCTGTTTCCTCTTCCAGTTTATTGTGTCCTTACTGCTCTGCCTCTTGGACTGGTGCATGGCGTTGCCGGTGAACACCCTTCTCCACCCAGTGTCCACAGCGGCCCTGGAGGAGCAACACTCAGCCAGAGCCCCTTTGCTGGATTATATCTACAGGGTGAGTTTCCAGCTGGGCCTCAAAGGTGTGGATTATGGAATTAAGCATTGGAGAATTACCAAAATACATTTTATGCATTTACTTCTTTATCTATGCCCTTTTGAAAAGGATTTATGAGGCTTAAACATTTTAAAAGAAATGAATAACTTAAGGAGTGAAAACAGAACAGATATAATTGTAAAGAACTGGTTAACAAATGCAAGGTGCATGCATTTTTACATGACTGTCATCTTTAAACAACTGCAGTTTGATCAGAATCCCCCAATTTTCATGTAACGTGGTCTTTTTAAAGACCGTGATCATTTAAAAAAGAACTGTTTATATTGTAGGAATATCCAGAGCCTTAGTTTGACAAAATCTGTTAATCAAAGAAAGAAAAAAGTATTAATGGTTCCAGTAATCTCTTTGCTTTAAAAGACCTTAAGAAATAAATTAAGAAAATATATCACATGAAAGTAATTAGCCTCATTTTTTATAGTACTTAAAATATTTGAATTTCAAACCCTACTGATGACCAGGTGTGGTATTTTGCTCTGGACCCTTTATTCTACCCTTCCCTATCAGCCTTACAGGCAGTCCCTCCTGTGAAAGCCCAATTTAGTCATTATTTGTCTGTTTATCTCTCTATCTATTTAGCATTTGTGTGTTCATTGAATAATTGCTGTTGCCTAGGAACAATTCTGTTGTTTATGTTTTTAGTAATAAACTTTTAATAATAGTAAAAAAAAAAAGATTCCAAGTCATTAACTAATTATTTTGTTGCTTTATTTTAAAATATATTAAATTAAACAAAACACCACTTAACCATGGTTAAAATTCTACTAAAAAGTATTGTGTATTTTTAAATGGTTTCTTCAGTGGTCAAAGATTTTAATAACTATATTAGGATTAATTAGATACTTGTGGCATACTTTTGGCTTATAAACCTGTATAAGGTTTGGCTTAACCAACTAAAGTAGCCACAATCATTTAAATTCATCTTTTTTCTAATTTATTTCTTAAAAGATTTCTCTTAAAATTGCTTTACCAATATAAAAGTCACCTCATAGTTAACATGATTCATAAATTTATTGAATAACTCTTTATTGCATTTTTAAAGGAAACTTTTTATTGAAATATAATATGCATCCAGAAAACCACTTCAATCATAAGTGAAAGCTTGATGAATTTTTGCCAAGTGAGCACACCTATAAGACCAGATCCCAGCTCTGGGAACAGAACATTCCTAGCATCCCTGAAGCCTCCACTGTGTCTCCTCCTAGTCACTACCCCCATAAACATACCCAGGGTAACCCCTATCCTGTCTGACAGTATAGATTTGTTTTGCCTATTTTTTAATTTTGTATGGATAGAATTATACAGTGTGTGCTTTTGTGTCTGACGTCTTTCACTCAACATTATTTTTGAGGGATTCACTCATACTGTTATGAATAGTCGTAGATTTTTCACTGTCATTGCTATTTAGTATTACACAGTGAGAATAAACTATGATTTATTTATACTACTGTTGATGGACATTGGGTAGTTTAGAGTTTGGGACCATAAAATAATTCTGTGAACATTCCATTCTAGTATGTCTTTTGGTACACAGATGTATGCATTTCTGTTGGGTGTATACCTAGGAGAGGTGTTGCTAGAATACATGTGTTCTACTTTAGTAATGAACACTAAATAATTTTCTGGTGTGGTTGTGCTAATTAACACTGTCACCAACAGTGTCTGAGAATTGCAGTTGCTTTACATTCTTGCTGACACTTTGCTATCTGATAGGTATGCCATGGCATTGTGGTTTTAATTTGCATTTATTATATTTATTGCATTTGACTAATAGAAATTAATGCTCTCAATGACAGAAGCTCAATTTTTATGTTAATAAGAAAGCTACCATAAGGATTTTCCTATACTGCCTTTTTGCTTGGAAGAAGATGTATACAGTTGTCCCCTGCTGACTATAATTCTTGGTCCTTTTTAGCCATGTGCAAAGGTTGCACACACCTAAATCCTCCAGTCCCCAAGAGGCACCACAAGTAGAAGGAACTAAATCGGAAGATGTCCAACCTGATCACAAGGCCTCCTGCCACGTGGGCAAATCAAAGCCAGTCGTCTATATGTGAATTTACTTTGTATAAATATATTTAACCCAAAGATATGTCCTTAGTTTCTAAAATATTACCTTGATTTTCATAAAAATCAGGTTTTTTGAATTTATGATCAAAAAGTAAAATTTAGTGCAGTTATTAGTTCCTTTATACATTTTGGCATACTCAAGATGAATTGTGTGTACATGGCTTGTACGTGCACAAAAGCACAAACAAGAGTAGTTAGAGCTTTAAGTCAACTGCAATTCATAAATAACCAGTGAGTTTTGGGGAAATTAATCTTTTAAAAATAAGAAAACTTTAAAAATTTGTATTAAATTACTTTCATTAATTGTACTTTTAAAAATTAAATTTGCGGGGCTGGCCCCGTGGCCGAGTGGTTAAGTTCGCGCGCTCCGCTGCAGGCGGCCCAGTGTTTCGTCAGTTCGAATCCTGGGCGCGGACATGGCACTGCTCGTCAGACCACGCTGAGGCAGCGTCCCACATGCCACAACTAGAGGAACCCACAACGAAGAATACACAACTATGTACCGGGGGGCTTTGGGGAGAAAAAGGAAAAAATAAAATCTTAAAAAAAAAAAAAAAAAAAAAAAAAATTTTAAATTTGCCCTTCCAAGTCATGGGGTCACAAGTTACATTAATTCAAATTCATGAATGGTTATAAAGTATACTAATGGTCTCTACTTATTGGTTTCATTCTGCCTTCCACCATGGGTGGTGGTTGTGTATTCTGGAGCTCACCCCACAGCTACTCTTCATCTCCTGATTTAGTTTCTTCCACTTGTGTTGCCTCTGGTGGAGTGAAGCAGGATTTAGGTATGTGCAACCACATAGAATGGCTCAAGAAGTGCTTTTTCACTTTTGCCTTCCTTTTTCCTTGAGAATATATTTATTGGCATTGATGTGAAAGGAGCAAAATTAACTTGCTAATAGCACAAAGATACTTTGGAAATGGAAAGAATTCTCTGTTTTCAAGTATTACCAAGGAGATGTCCTGCCTTCTGAGTGCTGTTGTAGTTTTGACAGATTGTCAGGGGACGGGAGGTTAGTGTCATCCATGGCACACATTCCCTTCTGTTTTTCACAGGTTCTGCACTGCTGTGTTTGTGGCTCAAGCACATACACCCAACAAAGTCACTACACGTTGACCCTGGCCGACCTGTCATCCACAGATTACGACCCCTTCCTGCCGCTGGCAAATGTGAGGAATTCTGAGCCAGTCCAATATCATTCATCAGCAGAACTGGGAAACCTGCTTACTGTTGAAGAGGGTGAGATTCTTCAGAATATTAATTCTTATGGGCAGGAAAAGGAAGGATTGTAGGCTTTTGTCCATGATTGCTTTTATTTTTTTGAAATCTAGTTGTTGAAATCCTGCTAGAAAAAGTCCTCTGTGATATCAAATTCTGCCTTCCTTGTTTCTTCCTTTTTTCTCTGTTTCTTCTCCTCTCTCTTTTCCCATCTTAGGTGGATTTTGTATTATTGAGGACCTGTATGTTTCAGACCCATTGGACCCACAATAAAGGCTCATTTTCTGTCCTCAAGGAATTTTACATGTAATAGGAGAGACAGGATTAATGCAGAAAGATGAATTTGTGGACTGGTGGCACCATGGGGGCCTCCCATGGTGAAGGACTTAAGCCAGACTTAGAAGGATGGGCAGACTTTGAAAGAAGCTGATAGAGTATTCCCGACCAGCAAAACATCATGCTGAGAGAGATGGGAATTTACATGCCACAGTTTGAGGATTGCTCTACTCATAGCAGAGGTCCATTTTAGACTGTGTGGGTATTGTCAGGACTTAGGGACTGTTGTATGTCCTCCTCAACCACTCTTCTCCCCAAAATGACAAGAGCTCATCTCTGGGCCTTGGAATGTGAGTGAAAATGTGGGTCTGTCATCCATACATGTGAAATAATTGCATAGAACCAAATGCACACACACACAAATGAGTGCATGTAAAACTAGTGAACTCTGAATATTGATGAGTTGTGTCAGTGTCAATTTCCTGATTGTGATAGTGTACTGCAGCTTTGCAAGATGTTACCATTGGGATGAAGGATATTTGGGATCTCTCTATTATTTCTTACAAGTACATGTGAATCTTCAATTGTCTCAAAATTAAAAGTTAAAAAAAAATGTGGGTGTGGAGTGTTAGATCATCCATGAAAATTTTATAAACTTTACAAGTTAAACACCTGGGCCCAAGAATGGAAACTTGTGGGTAAAAACGTCCTTAAAGAAAAAGGCATGAGGGAATGTCACCAGGAAAGCAGTGTCAAAGAAATAGAAAAAGAACCAAGAAAGAGTCATTTTTAGAAAGTCAAGGGAAGAAAGTGAATAAACAGCCAGAAAGGTCACCACTGCCAGGTGCTTCAGAAAGCTCAGGGAGGGTGAGAACAAACAGGAACCGTTTTATCTCCCAACTAAGCATTTGGTGGTGGGGTTTGCCAAGTACTTTGGGTAGAGCAGTTGCTCTGTAGCCACATAGCATAAGCAGGTGACCTGGGGGATGACCACTCAGAACCCTGAGACAGACCTTCTTGTGGGGCCTTTGGTAGAGAGAGGAAGCACACAGCAGGCAGAAGCTGAGTGAGGGGACGAGGTCCAGGGCTTTGCTTGCATGATTGCAGAGTCTGGAGTGTGGTTCAGGCTAAGGGGAAGGGGATGGGTGAGGTGAGGATGAAGAGGACAGGAGGCGGGGTACCAGTTGGGAGCAAGGGCTGTGGAATCGGCCAGTCCTGATTTTAGCTCCGTCTTATAGACGAGCAAACAAAAGTGAAGGGATTTTCCCAAGGATGTATAAGTCAGAAGTAATGGAGGTGGAATTTGAATTTAAGATTTAATGACCAAGTTCCTGAAATATCCTTATTATTTACTCTGAGATTTTGCCACAGAGTGGACCAAGGACTCATTTTGGTTGTGTTGCTAGTGGATGCTACATGGCATATTTTCACATTGCCCCCTTGGTTGACCTGCATTTAGTTGTCTTTTCCTAGAGTTCCACTGTACTTTTACTTCAATATTTTTTTGCCCTTTTTTCCCCAGAGTTGTAAATTCAAACCCTATGTTTTTTTAACTGAAGGCGTAATAGTTGACAACATTGTGAAATTTCACTTGTACATTATTATTTGTCCATCACTATATAAGTGCTCCCCTTCACCCTCTGTGCCCACCCCTCCCAGCCCGCTTCCCCCCTGGCAACCACTGTTCTCTTTGTCCGTGTGTTTATCTTTCATGTATGAGTGAAATCGTATGGTATTTGTCTTTCTCTGTCTAAATTCAAACCATATTTTAAAAAAATAATCGAAATGACCCTTCATCTATTTCTTTTCTTGTTTCCTACCTTGCAGTTCCTGTCTTAGAAGAAAATTAACTTACTTTTTCCTAAAGTCATTAATTTACACTCATCCCACATGGCTATCCCTAAAATAGGTTCACCACTTATTATGACTTGTCACTTGAAAATAATGGGAGATTAATAAGTTAGTGGAAAAGAATAAACCTAAAAATGCACATTTAAATTTTGGCAGTGCTTTTCTTTTGATGTATAACACTCTTTGACTTGAATATTCCTTCTCCAAAAAACCTCAGGACCTTGTGCAAAATTGTCCTAATGTAGTTCTATAAAATAATTGTTTAAACTTCTATGGCAAAGGAGTTTTAAAATTTACTAGCATTTTAACTAAATAAAAAAGCAAAGAAGCTTAAAACGTTGGCATGCACTCTCTTGCTGAGTGGTTACAACCTGTTAAGAGTGAAGGGGAAAAATAAAGATGATAGCTTACGTGTTTTAGGTTAAACAAATATGCTCATATTTGAGGGGTTTTTTTCCATTTAATGTCATAATTCATCATTCACAACCAGACTATTCCTCTCAGATAATGTTTCTGATAAGCAATGGTATATTTTTATCTATTATTCTTCATAGGCCAATGCTGACTATTTGATGTAGTTAGTGCTTTCAAATAGAGTTACAGGGGCTGGCCCCTTGGCCGAGTGGTTAAGTTGACACGCTCCGCTGCAGGCGGCCCAGTGTTTCGTTGGTTCGAATCCTGGGCGCGGACATGGCACTGCTCATCAGACCACGCTGAGGCAGCATCCCACATGCCACAACTGGAAGGACCCACAACAAAGAATATACAACTATGTACCGGGGGGCTTTGGGGAGAAAAAGGGAAAAAATAAAATCTTTAAAAAAAAAAAAAAAGTAGAGTTACAAACAAGAGACACCTACAGCTGAGGTGGCTGCTGGCCCAGCTCAAGGAAACGCTGTTCAAGGCACACACAGGTGCTCAAATTCCTCATCATTAATACCTAAGTGAAGGGGAGGGAAGAGCCTTAAAACATGAAAGTTAAAGGACAACCTAAAATTACTGCTTTTATATTTCCTCTCTAAATTTGGGAAAATAAATATTTGAAATATATTTCTTCATAGTTTGTTCAAGTCATGAGCTTGTTTTTTCAATACTGGAGTCTAGATTTTCTCTTTATTTTTGAGGGAACTCACAGGCCTTTGATTCAGCTGAAGTCTTCCAGTGAAGAACAATTCTCATTTCATAAATAGTCCCTTTCCTTATGTGGGGGATCAGAATTGGCTACCCCAAAATGTGTCTCTTTGATATTTTTAAGAACAAAAGACTTCGAAAAAAAAAACTTTGACTTTCCCCCACTTGCCTAAAAGAGTTTAAAATAGAAGGGCCTATTCCAGAAAGAAGCTAATACCCATAAGATAACTGTAATGTAACGTAAAATGTGTCTCTTAGGTCACATTGTCTATAGTTGGCCCAGTTTCATTTCCATTTCCGTCTCTAAATTGCCTTCCTCCTCCTTGAAGTCCCAAACCAGTACCCCGACACCCTCCTTTGTCTTCAGCTAAAAATGGTATTTAGCGTGGCAGCTTCAGCCATTTCTGGCGAGTTGCTCAGTTTTCCTGGGTTTCTCCCATGTATACATGTTACAAAGTTTTGTTTGGTTTTCTCCTGTTATTCTGTCTCATGTCGATTTAATTCATAGCCCAGCCAGAAAGACCTAGAGGGCAGAGGAATCGTCTTCCTTCCCTACAGTTACTTTTCAGTACCAAAGATACTTCGGGTTTTTACTGGATGTGTCTTGGTTTGTGACTTGATTAGTGGACTCCCAGTTAATTTCCCATGGTAGAATTCAAACATAATCATTAAAATATAATGCATCTCAAATTGAAAGCACAACCTGCGTAAGTAAAAGTAGAAGAAAGTTGCTTTTCCAGTTGTTATTTTCTGCCTTGGGCTTTATCAAATTGGACCTTTATCCTTAGTTTCCTAGCCTGCTATACCATGTCATCACCATGCAGTGTCTTACATTGTGGACTCCTGAGCTCCCAGCTGGCTGCACCTTTGTCGTTGGGGACATTAACATTTCTGATGGAGCATATATTCATATGGAATGATAAGCATGAATAAAAAGCATCTGTAACTTTTGAAAAAGTTAATATGGACACAAAAGCAAAGGCATTCATAACTGTGATTTCAAGGGAATTAGTTGAGGTATTTTAAATTTCTCAGCTGTATGGAAATCATACACACTTCAATGCGGGCCGGGAAGAAGAGTTTAATTTCAGAGACAGATGTAGATGACCTCCTTTGCTTATAAAAAATGAATTTTTTTAATATAAAGTTTTATTTTACATTATTGAATGCAGGTGATTTCTTGTTCATTGAAAAGAAAAAATTAGAAGAAAAGTCAGGAAAATCTTGTTCCCCTCAGTCATCACACAGAATTTCTTAGATTCCAGGGTTGTTTCTTTCTGGGAATTAGACATCATACAATTGATGCTGTATAAGTCAGTCAATTGGATTTATAATGCCTGAGAGGGAGGGTGTTTAGCTTGAAAAAGCATACTTACAGTTATTTATGTTTTAATCAATATTTGATTTTTCATGTTATAAATTTAAAAACCAGGTATTTCCTAAATCTTTAAGTCCAAATTATAAATCTTAGTTTATTTAAATATCTAGTGATTTTTGTTGTTGAAATCAAGAGGTTTAATTTTCACTTGTTCTTAGATTAACACACTATTCTTTATGAATTTGGCAAATTAAAATTTCCCTAACTACTCTCAAGCTTAAGTAGTCATTTCAACTCATACTTAGGGATTTGGTTTATCTGCTTTGCCCTTACGCCTCAAACATTTTACAAGGCCTGCTTTTACATGCTATAGTCAAAGTCTTTCTAGATTTTTGAAGTCTTAAAAATTTTGTAAATCAGTTGCTCTTGGGCATTTTATCAACTACAGATTTCATTAAAGCCTTCTAAGTATTGCCATGAATTACAAATATATCAGATTCTGTTAAATATTTCAAATGCCCTGACAACAACGTAAATTGTCACAATGCTTTGGATTGCTTCAATATGTTGAAGCAGTCACAGGCTTTGTTCACTTCCTTTTCAATGTCTACCTTTACCTCACTGAGGGGAGTGAGGTCGCCTCTCTGGCCCAGGCCCCCAGCCCCCTCTCCATCCTCTCCAGCTTCGGATTTTGACCTCCCAGAGCTCCCAGAACCATCAACTCTAAGAACAGGGACCTTTCTCTTTTGTTTATTACTGTGTCTACAGATATTTAAATTTACTTTTCAGAATGAAATCTTCAGGTAAATTGGTTCTTTTATCATTCTCTTTAAATTATGCTTTTAAATTCAAATAGAATTAGTGTCAAAAAAGAAAATAGGTGAAAAAAATTCCCAGATTGAAAAAATCAAACATTCTGAGTACAGATTTTAATCTTTGTTCTCCATGGTCTGTGTATTTCTTTCCTGCTGTTCACAGAGAGGAGGAGGAGAAGTTTGGAGCTGATCCCTCTGACTGCCAGAGTGGTGATGGCCCACCTGGTGAACCACCTGGGGCACTTCCCCCTCCGTGGGGGCCCTGCTGTGCTACACAGCCTGGTCAGCGAGAACCATGACAATGTGCATGCGGAAGCCTCTGAGCTCTCCTCCGAAGTGTTCAGGAGCCCAAACCTGCAGCTGTTTGTATTTAACGACAGCACCCTCATCTCCTACCTTCAAACGCCCTCAGAAGGACCGGCAGGCGGATCACCAGTGGGCGCCCTCTCGGATGTGAGAGTTATTGTGAGGGATATCTCAGGGAAGTACTCTTGGGATGGGAAGGTTTTATATGGACCTTCGGAAGGCTGCTTAGCACCAAAAGGCAGAAGTCCTGCATTTCTGATTTCAGGCTGGCATCATCAAGCAGTTGGACCTCAGAAAGATTGTTCTCAAACTGAGGAGGGAGATGATGTCCTCGACAAATTACTTGAAAACATTGGCCACACAAGTCCTGAGTGCCTTTTACCATCGCAGCTAAATCTAAATGAGCCTTCCCCACCCCCACGTGGAATGAACCGTGACCAAGAGAAGGAAATCATCAAGGTCATTTTGCACCAGAATGCACAAGAAGACGAGTATGTTCAGAGGTGTAACTCTGATTTGGCCATGAAAGTCACCAGCCAGGAGCAGCCCTCACCAGTGGAGCCCCGAGGACCCTTTTATTTCTGCAGGCTGTTGCTTGATGACTTGGGAATGAATTCTTGGGACAAAAGGTAACAATCCCCTCTAGACTTTCAATTATTTTATTGTTATTTTTGTGTGATCGTTCTTTTTATCAATTTGGGGTTTGGGAAGCAAAGAATAGAAATGGAGATTTTTCTCTATTTTAGCATTTACAGCTTATTTTCTGCTGTTAAATTAAAGCTAGGAATGAAACTAACTATGCTCTACTGATGTGCAGATTGAATTCCAAACATCTCTTGAATATTTTGAAGGGTATCAAACATTTTCTGTGTGTGTATATGTGTTAATTACTGCTCTGCCCATTATTGCTTCTGCCTTCAAGAAAGATGTGAATGGACTATGAAGATAAATAAGCCACAGTCTCACCTTAGCTCTGGTGAGGGAGGTAGATTTAATACAACTCTCATGAAAAGTAACATGACACAGGAGCTCAAGGGAAACAGTTAATCCAATAGGAAGTGCTGGACAGTGGAGAGGACTCTGTGGAAGGGGCTGGGTTTGGCTGGACTCTCATAGTGGAGTGGAGGTTTTAAGGACAGAGGTGGGGAAAAGAGATTCACAGCAGAGCTGATAGTGAAAACAGAAACATAGGCACACGCTCACAAGTCACACACTCATTGACCGCAGAGCCATCCAGCGTCACTGGATAGTAATAGGATGCAGTGGGATTTTGATGCCTTTGAATGTATGTCTTAAAGAGAATGGAGTTTATTCTGTAGGCTTCAATCACAAATCTTTTGTGAATGAGGCAGGTTATGTGTTGGTAGATGGATGGACGGAGAGTAGATAGGTTTGTTAATTGATTGGAAAGGGCAAAATTGGTCTGTGATTACACAACTTTTCTTACATCTTTTTTTCTTTATAGGAAGAATTTTCATCTGTTGAAGAAAAATTCAAAATTATTGAGAGAGCTAAAAAATCTGGACTCCCGTCAGTGGTATGTGAAAGTATATCAAAGCACTTTATACTTGTTTATCTTTAGGGGGTGTTTGGATGACAGATATAGATGGAGAAATGAATACACCTACAGAGACATCCAAGGGTAGTTTTGTAAGCTGGAATCCGGTGACATTTGCATGTGCCATACCTTTGGTATTTTTACCCTTGAGGGATAAACTTACATGTTTGCTACACTAAGTCGTCATTGCTCCCACCTAATCTGTGCCTTTGATTGAGGACTTTTCCACATGGCAGAGTGGGCGTTCATTCTCATTGAATCTCTGCAGCCACCTCTTTTTCCAGGGAGGAACACAGGCTTTCCTAACTCAAACAGCCTGCCTGTGCTCACACATACCATGTTGTTTGAAGCAAATGAGTCTGACTTCATAACCTGTGCTGTACGCTGATGCACTGGCATTCTGTGGTCTCTGCTCTGCGGTGTTGACAAAATTAAAACCAGTGTGCGATAACTAGTAACTCCCTGGTAGTAAGCCTCACTCTCCAAAGCAGGCCAAATCTCAGATCTGCCCTCTTTCCCTACAATCTTAGAAGCAATTCATAAGATGAGCTCACAACCAGTTTTTGATTTGGGGAAATGTGTGCTTCCAAAAACATCTCAGTCAAGAGTTAAGTATAGTACTTGGTACATAACAGGTGCTTGAAAGTCTTGAATAAACTGCTTCTTTAATCTTTAGTTTTTAACAAGCTCATTTAAAAAATTTTTTAAATTTCTCATTAGAGAGGAGAAACCTGAAGCCATCATTCCTCGCATTGCCCTTCATCACAGTCAGTTTCCCCATTGTTGTTGTGCTTCTTTTTCTCTAGAGCAATAGAGACCGAATTCTCTGTGGAAATTCTGGGAGGGATTTCTTCTGAAGGACTTAGGGATTCACTTTTCTCTCTCTTGTCCTCCAGTGTTAAGCAAGCAGTCACTTGGGCTCCAGACTCAGCTTTTCGAGCGTATGCTAAATTATTCTGTGCTTCGTAGTCTTAAGTGAATATATTGGTGTCTTGTAATTGTGGCCAATTTGTTGAGTGTTAATGCACTTTAGTTGCATGAGGTACAATTGAATTAGCTCCCTGGGGTGCTGTTGCAGTAAAATATGGCTTCGGAGAGCTGAGTGGCAGATCCTCTGCCCCTTGATTAACCTTTGCTTGAAACCCCAACGCCTGGATTTAGTGTCTTCTTGACATCTAAAAAGGTATCAACTTATTTTATTGCAAAAGGTGTTTTCCAGGTTCTTTTTGAAAAACTAGAAATAAGTTGGGGACTCTACCTATGAAAAATCTACACTGTCCCGTGTATTGGTCAGTTAGCAGGTAATAACATATCTTGTCCCTCAACTTTCAATTAGTATGTTTCTATTTATTTCTGATATCAATTTACCTCCGTGCTGTCGAGGCATAGTTCCTGCTTAGCATGTTCTTAGGAAAAGTAGAGACTATCTTGCAACTATTATCTATATACTTTGAAGTTAGCAGAGATGTAAATAGTATTATGAATGTACATACAGACTACAGTGGTCTCCCCTTTTAAATATTAATGCCTCTTGTCACCACATGGTAAGGTGAAAGTTAAAATCATGTTTTTTCTTTGTTTGGCTTTTTAATGGGACATCACGAGGAAACTGAACTATTCTGGTCTATTCCTTATAAGAGAGAAAAATGCATTCTAATGAGGGAGAGGAAATTGTTGATTTTATGTGTGTGTGTTCCTGAATTACCTGCTCCTTCATGCGTTGGTCCTGTAGCTTATGGTTATGAAGCGCTGTTGGTGATGCTAATTATCATTTCAAAAGCCTGGCTCTAATAAGGCCAGACCCAGCATCTGCATCCTAGCAGGCTCTCTGTGGTGCTAACATTTTGGAGGATGTGAAATTTGATGAATGTGTACAGCTAAAGGTCACCTTTCCTCACACCTACACCCGTTAGGCGGTCGTTGGGCTTGGCTCTGTTTTGCTCCACCTTGAGTTAATGAGGACCAAGGACCTCTGAGCAGCTACAGTGTAAAAAGCGGGGACTAGAAGGAGAATAAACAAACATTTCAGATAAAACTAAGATTGTTTTTATATATGTAAAGTGTATAGAATAGAGAAAAATTAAATGCCGAGGACTTTTAAATATATAGAAAGAGCTACAGAAAGAAATCGAGTAACTATACTTTTTTCTCCTTTTGTTGAGACTTAGGTTATGGCCTCATAGGTTATGGCCTCTGTTACCATCCAAGCCCCTAAATTATTATAGCTCTAGAATAAGCTAGTCAGAGTCTAGACTGCTGGTGTGTCCTGCCTGTGTCTCAGGGAGTAAATGGTGTTGCCATTTCGGGACTCTCTACTGCATGAGGACGAGCTTTCTGACAGTCTGAGAGCACAAGGTCTCTACCAGAGCATTGGCCCCCTAGGATCCATAACCAAGAAACTCCCCTCTCCTCACAATAGCTGTTCCTGTTAAGAGAGGCACCCCCAGCAGTGTGCTTATGCCACACCAGTCAGGGCATCCAGGATGTCTACCTTCTCCAGGGGCAGCGAGACAGTGTGCATCAGAAGCCTTAAAGATGGGCAGGGACCAAGATTCCATTTTTATGAATTTATTTTAACGACATATCAAAGATAGTGTGAAAATGTCTTTAAAAATGGAAGCAACCTAAATGTCTAATAACAAGGATTTGGGATATGGTATATTAAAATAATGGAAGGTTACACAACCATTAGTAGCTTTGTTATACAAACACGTTATAAAAGTGTTCATGCTCAAAAATGGTTTAAATAGTGACTTTTGTATTATGTATATTTCACACAATAAAAAAGTGTTCACAAATATTTTAAGTGAAAAAAATCAGTTGCAAAGCAGGATATAGTAGCCTCTCTTTTTTAATGCAAAAATGCATCCTAAAATGGTAGCAGTTGTGATTGCAACCTATGAGCAAAGAACATAGTGATGTTTTTATTCTTCTCTTCACTTCCTGTATTTTCTAATTTTTCTTCTAAGTATGTTTATTACATGTAAACTATGGGGGAAATGAATAAGCTATCTAGTAGAATAGAAGGAGAGTACTTTCCTCCTTGATTTATTTTTATGATTTTTGAGTTGTGTTCCAATTCGTTCTGCTTAATAAGTAGAAAAATAACTCCTGCAGAAGGACACATTTGAGAAAATGTTAAAGTATGGAACCCAAATTCCACCAATATAGATGTCTAATCAGATTCTAATGTTGAGATATTGAACAATTGGACAGTAGAAACATTTCCATATTGTTTAGGCACTTGATAGTTTTTCTTATGAGATTTTGAAGAATGTAGTGCAAAAATAAGAAGAGTGGAACTTCTCTGTAAGTGGTAATCCGAAATTTTAGAAAATTGAAATGAGAGTAAAAAACTCTTGGTTGATGGGGCTGTGGAATGAGCAGTTCTTGATTAAAGCCCTGTTTGAATGAAAACAATGTCTTCATCTCTAAACTATAACCAGATTGCTTGGTGTAGGTCTAGTTATTTTGACACTTTAATCCAGGGTATAATTTGTAGAAGTTGGTTATTAACATATTCAAATATGTCATCATACCTCTGGTCAATGCAGGAGAGATTTAACTGAGCACCTACTATGTACCAAGGACTATGCCAGATGTGCAGAAGGTGAGAAGGCAGGGCTCTTTTCCTCAAAGTGCACATCACATGTGCTTGAATTAACAGCAAACTGCCCAAAACCCATTGTGGAGGAAGTGAATGAGGTTTGATATGGCCAAAGAGATTTCCCTGGACAGCTGTCCACCCTCCCAGGCACCTTCAGATTAGTTAGAGCACATGGTGGGTATACCCCTCACAAAGAAAGTACCTAAGTATGTTCTGCTTAGAAGAAGTTTCTCTTTCTCATAAAGTCTCAGCATATTTTATAGTTCCAGTCAGGGAGCTCCCCAATATCCTTATCTCAGAATGTGGAAAGTGAAATACGGGTGGTCACATAGATCTATTCACAATTGATATCTATTTGAAATGCTTTCAAAGATATTTTTCACCAAAGATGGAGAGAATTTGTCAAATGGTGTGCTCCGACATGCTGTTAGGTATATCATATGTCTGAGAGAGTGATCTCAAGAGCCAGACTGCCCTGCTTTAGTCCCCACCGTCCTGCTGGCTGTGTGTGCTTTTGGTTTACCTTTCTGTGCCTTCTTTCAGCCACCTCTGCAAGGTGGGTGATGATCATGCTTGTCTCATTAGGGTGATTGTGAAGAGTAAATGAGATCATGCGTCGAAACAACTTAGAACAGTGACTGACCTCTAGCAAGTTCTCAGTAAATGTAATCTCTATAGTAGGAGTCATGCTGGTGGTAGTACTAAAATAAAATTTTACATGTAAGAATTCTAACTCCTTTAAATTTAAAAATTTATAGCCGTGAAACACACAAAATTGCAGTATTTTACATTGCTGAAGGTCAAGAAGACAAGTGTTCAATCCTTTCCAATGAAAGAGGAAGCCAAGCATATGAAGACTTTGTTGCTGGACTTGGATGGGAGGTAATTCATTTCATCCAGGAGGTGTTTTATTGACCAGCACTATTTAAGGATGTATATAAACTAGACATTGATTGTGTAAGTTTTTACATATGTTTTTACATTCAGTAGTGTGGGTAGAGTTCTGGAGTTGAAGAATATATTGAATTTGACATCTTCTATTAGTTGCCTTCCAGTACTTTATACGTGAACTTTTGTTTCCTGTTAACTTTCCTCTTACTATAATTTCATTTGCTTTTTCTAAGAACTGAGTAGTCAGATTAGCTCACCCAGCCATAGACAGTTTATAGTCAAAGAAGTCACCTATGGGCAGAGAAGCAATGGCTTTGGCCACAATATGGAAATTGTAGAAGAAATCAATGACTTGATGGGTGAAAAAATGGAGAAAGAGTTGGATGAAGTCAAAAGTTGAAACGAAAATAGAATATAGTAGCCATGATGGTTTAGCTATCAACCTATTTCCATAAGGTAGATCCCAGGATGATTGATATTGAAAACATTTGTTTTTTCTTTACTAAATGGTACTCAGACAGACATATATACCTTTATACACATGTACACACACACACACATATATCTGTCTCCAGGAACATAAATGTAAAGGAAAGTATATTCCCAGAATCTGAAAGAATTGAGAGTAGCTCAAATGGAAATCAGCACAGCTGAATAATGTTCTTACTTTTTCTTACTTTTGGTTTCTTGGTTATCTGTGCTGTGGGAAACTCTGGGTGTATAAGTAAGACTTGTCTCTGAGAGTTGAATGTTAGCAAGGGGACTGACGTGGAGATAGGGACAGGGTAAGGGTACGTTAAGGTCAAGAACATATACTTTCTAAAATATCATGTAGGGTTTAGTCTAAAAGATTTATTGCACTTCCAATAAATCATTTTATATATATATATGTGTACACAACATACCATACATGTTATATGTACATGTATGGTGTACATATAACACCATACATGTACATATATGTGTGTATAAATATACACACACACATAGACGTACACGTCTAGAGAAATATGCACCAAACTTTTGATAGTGGTTTTCTTAAGTGGGTAGAATTTTGGAGCACTTTCATTATTTATGTTTCTTTAATATTTTATTTTGTCTAGCTTTGTATTACAGTTGTTTGTAATCAGCTATAAAAAGGAAAATAATTAGATCATTTGGAAAAATCTACATTCCTGCTTAGTGAATAAGCACAGCTCGTGTCTGACCCTCACTCTTCCTCTCTATGACCTGCATCAGGTGGATCTCTCAACCCACTGTGGGTTCATGGGTGGACTTCAGCGCAACGGCAGCACAGGGCAGACCGCCCCTTATTATGCTACCTCAACCGTGGAAGTGATTTTCCACGTTTCAACTCGGATGCCGTCAGACTCAGATGATTCACTCACCAAAAAGGTAAGGGGCCTCCTGGGAACCATTCTTAGCTGCCCTGGTTTGTAGGCGAGGCGAGGCTCTCCTAGAGCAGAATGAAGGTCACGGATAGCATGCAATAGCATGCACGGAGACCGGTTTCCTCTGGAGGCGGCCTCAGGGTCGCTCTTCTTAAGGTACAGTTGTAGTTAATCTGAAATATCCAGCTTGGAACAAACTAGATAAAGAAATATGTGAAAAGCAATCAATCGTTTGAGTCTTAAATCCTGAGATTAAGATTTATGGAAAAGAAGGGTCTTAAATGTTGTTAATTATGGATCTATCCTCACACGACTACTAACTAACAGAAAGTAATGGTGTTGCCCTCTCAGGTTGGCGAAAGTCGTAAGATGTAGTGACCTTGTGCTGATGGGGATCTGAGAATGCAGGCACCTCTCAGGTTTCCCGTGGGGCGATTTGGCAGTGTCTGTCAAAATGCCAAGTGCAGGTGTGCTGCTGCCCAGTGGGCCTGTCTTTGGCACTTACCTTGTGTTCTCCTTCAACTTGGGCCCTGTGGGCAGTTTTTTCTAGAATTCAGAGGAAACCTCCTGTATCTCTGAGGAGAAACCCCCTAGGGGAACACAGCCCTGTACTTTCCAACGTGCAGGATGTTCACCTCAAGTGATCCTCCGTTAGAGGTGAGGAGCGCCTCAATAGAAGAGGAATTTTATTCTGGGACAGAAGCCTAGAAATCGGAACCACTTCTGTGAGTTCACACAAGAAGTACAACTGCAACTTAGCCTGCTAGTGGGTGGCAGAGCCTGGAATCATTACTTCACACCTACTTTCTCCCTGCAAGGATGCAAGGAACTGAGGACAGTACCTGGGTGGTTGGAGAACAGGTCATTCAGACGGCGACTGAGGCTGGCTGATAGGGGATCTAGTCTGGTGGTTATAGCCAAGGTCTGGAAACAGGCAGACCTGGGCTCCAGTGTGTATCCAGTTACTTCACCAGCCTGTGCCTCAGTTTCCCCATCTATTAAAGGAGATTAAAAACACGGCCTATGTCACAAGGTTGTTGTGAAGTAAATGGATACTGCCTGTAAAATTGTTTAGCATGGTGCCTGATAGGATCTCTAACCATCGGCCTTCATCATTGCCCATTGGTCTATTTGATTCTTTTTTTCCCCTGCCCCAATAGGCAGATAGTATTGGCTGATGGGCCTCACTGTACCTGCCTCTTTTCTCTTCTTTGCGGTTTTGCTTTTTCATTACTACAGCCACTGACGTCTGGGCCATGTACATTGTGGGCAGCAGTGTTCATGACACCTCAGAACTCAAGTTACAGCACAATCACAGACAACTCTTACAGGGACCAAGTGTCTCAGATATGCAAAGCACTATTGTCTGTCACTCCCTAGCTTGCATGCTAGCATGGCCTCCTGCTAGCCATGTGCTAGCTCCTACGGGCATGGAGGAGCTGACTCTACATCTTAAGTACTAATACTGTAGTGTTCTTAGTGAAGGGGACCCTGCTCTCAGAGAAGCTATTTCAGATTACCAAGACCCTAGATAAGGCTTACACATCCTTTTTATTTGTAGTACCTTGTAAATTGCTGCTACTTTGCAAATGTGTCACTATATTCCATGATTTTCTTTTTTTTTTTTAATTTTACTTTTTTCCTTTTTCTCCCAGAGCCCCCTGGTACATAGTTGTATATTTTTTAGTTGTGGGTCCTTCTAGTTGTGGCATGTGGGATGCTGCCCCAGCATGGCTTGACGAGTGATGCTGTGTCGGCACCCAGGATATGAACTGGTGAAGCCCCGGGCCACCAAAACAGAGCACGCAAACTCAACCACTCAGCCATGGGGCTGGCCCCTCCATGATTTTCTTTTTTTCTTTTTTTTATTGTAAAGATTGGTACCTGAGCTAACAACTGTTGCCAATCTTCCTTTTTTTTTTTTCTTTTCTAACTCCCCAGATTCCCCCAGTACGCAGTTTTGTATATCCTAGTTGTGGGTCCTTCTGGTTGTGGCATGTGGGATGCCACCTCATCATGGCCTAGCGAGCCGTGCCATGTCCGCGCCTGGGATCTGAACCCTGGGCCACTCAGCCATGGGGCCGGCCCCTCCATGATTTTCTTATGACTGAGCACTATTTTGTTAAAAGATAGATTTATATTTAAAATATTTTTAAAAATTATTTCCTAAGTAAAGTAGGATTGTCTTTTTTTTAGATAAGATATAGTGTTTTCTTCATAAAATGCCATACTATAAGTAATGTTCCAAGGCTTGGCCTGGTTGGAAGATTCCCTACTGTAATAATCAAAATTCAGCTGATACCTTTTGCAGCTCCAAGATTTAACATCATTAATGACAAGTTCTCTTTATCAGGATGTCTCACAGCTAGACGAAAAATCAGTCACAGTAACAGCACCCCACAGTTCCTTGTCTTATTCTCACTAAATTGTCCCTAACAGCTTAAAAATGCGCTGCAAAATTCTAAAGTGATTCATGTTTTCTTCTGCCCCTGTCATGGGGCCACTTTTTCAATTCTGCAATCCGGTTGCAACCCCATACTGAACTCTTGATCCTTCACTGCAGAAATTTGTTAGCTCTAGCTAGATTAGATTTTTCACAGCTAATCTAACTGCTGTAGGGGTTTGCAGAGTGGGGACAGAGCTGTGCTATTGGATTTGTCCAATTCATTTGACTCCAGGACTATAATTGCACTTATGTCTTACAAGGCTTTTATAGCCTCAGGCTGGCCAGCCGCATAAAAAACAAATTGGCAGTGATACAGTATGAGTGAAAAGGGATGAAAGGCCCACATTATCAGTCTCCAGGCAGCACTGTTCTGGCAGGAAGTTTCTTGGTTAATTTGCAAATAAAACTTAGATTTTAGGATGGGCACACTGTCAGCTGAACAATGGGGATGTCAGGCCTGACTGTTACTTAGTAAAAGTAGCAGCCGGGCCCACTGAGGAGCAGGAATTCTTCAATCAAACAGACGACTCCTTCTGGAGCCAGCTGGCGATGTAATGCAATTAGTCGGGAAAGGAGGTCAGCCTATTAGGTGTGTACCATGACCAGTGTCACCAGTGCGTGCCGCCTGGCAGCAGCATGCAAAAGGACCCAGGCAAAGGGACTTTAAAACTCTGTCAGGACAAGAAGTGTCAGGACATGGGGTTGATTTCTTAAGACTTAAGAACAGAGCATTTGTTTTGAGCCTGTTAAGCATCCTCGAATTCTGGAGCCTGTTGTGAGGTTGAAGCAATAGTTGGCGTGAATGACAGCTCCATTCCAGGATGTGACTTGTCAGTCTCCTGCCAGATTATGCATGAGTCAGATCAACTTGACTTGTGTGCATGGAACTAACTCACTGGTAGATTTCTAATTTGAGGACCTCTAATCAAAATTCTCCAAAACTCACAAAATGCCATCTCTGTAGTTTCCAGAGTATTCCCTTATGTTCTGACATGGTCAACAATTTGACCAGGTTAATTTTATTTGTTTTACCTAGTTGTGTTCTTGTCATAGGCAGAAGAGGGTGTATTTTTGCTCTTTACTCTGGATTTATCAGCCAAGTGGTCCTGGGGCCTTAGCTCTTAGTTTTGTGAGTTAGCTAATTAAATTGTGGTGTGTCCAGAGGTCTGAGGCACATGACATTGAAAGCAGCTTTGAGATGATGAATGTTGTATTATTTTCACACAAAAATAGCTCTTCCTTAATTACAGAAGTGTCACACTGGGAGGATGGCTGTATTAGTGTGATACTATTCTCGCTTGCTCTAGTTCTGAGAATACAGTTGCAAACAGAATTAGGAGAGACTTACTTGGGTTATATAATTGAGTAAGCTAATTTAGAAAAGGGAGAGTAACTGCAAAATTTCAGTAATTACGGTATTACTTCAGAGTTAATGCCTTGTGACTGAAACTTCTGGATGATGGATTTCAGAATGCTCATGTTAGGTGGTTTGGATCCTGGGCACGGATGTACTGGGTAATTTTACATTTAGAAAGTGATAAACACCATTAAGTTGTTCTGGATCACCATGACTTGTGCTTGACACCCGTGGCTGCATTGTCCCAGAGCCTGTACTGAGGCACAGTGGAATCGTGTGCCCCTCACTATAGGGGCTACTGTACTTGCACCTGTACCTCACTATAGGTTCAAAGGTACAGGTGCAAGTCTCTTTTTTAAAATTTGACTTGTACAGGTATTCCCAGAAGTATAAGAGAGTGAAGAATAAGAAGACATTGCAGTAAACCAACTTCCTTTGTATCCTTGTAAATGCAAAGGAGACCATGTTGGGGTCACCTCAGGTTTTCCATTTGTGGTCAAATAATCTATAAAGAAAATTGTATTTCTACTAACCTGTTTTAAATACAGAGTGTTCCAGAGCATCCTTTTTTATATTTTAACATAAAACTAAAGCATTAGCTTTGACAGAACCTCTGTATTTCATTAAAGTGCCTCTAAATTTAATCATTTTTCAGGTTCATCTATTAAATAAGCTAGGAAGCAAGAAATACTTTCTCATGGTGCATAGTGTCTTCTGCAGCAGGGGAGAGGACCAAAATCTCAAATTCTCGACAGGCGTCAAAGGACGTTCCTAGTCAACCTTTATTGTTTTAGCACTTCAATTTTGGCCAACATTTTTTAATTTTTATAAGCCAGTTTCTTTTAGTCACACTTTCAGTCTTACTCAGATGATTTCATATGCAGCCCAGGCTATGTAGTCATTATGCAGGGGCTTTATTAAACAAGGGTTTTCTTGCGTCTGACAGAGCTTGGCCCTAGAAGCACTGTCAAGGGGTCCCTTCCTGGGAGACATGCTAAGCCCTCCTCAGAAAGCCCAGGAGTCTCTGACTTGTTTTTGGACTCCAGGGCCTCTTTGTGATAGTACAATTAGCTCTTGGCGCAGGCTTAGATGGCCATGAACAGTGGAAACAGCACTGGAGTAGAACCCCAGCCCAGCGTTGCAGGCCCATTCTGCCACATACTGTTCATACGCCCTGGGTAGGTGGGACCTTTGCCTTCCTGAGCCCCCTTCCTCCTCGTTAGATAACATAAAGATGATGTTGTGACCTCAGAGAGTTAGTGGAAAAATTAAACAAAACAGTACGTGTGAACATACTTTCTATGGCATTCTTTAAATGTTGGGTACTAGTGTTCTTACTAAGTTTAAGCAATATTTATTAGTTTCTTAAACAAAGGTAATTTTATGCATACTTTTTCTTAAAGGTTTGTGACAGTCTGGTTTTTATACATTCGGTAACAGTTGGTTTTAATGACTTATGTTCTCCTATATTCGTATTCTTTTTATCTTTAATAGCCATTGAATTAAGAGTTTTATGAAGCTTTACTGTAATATGGAATAAAAGACTCATATTGTTAATTGTTTAAAACATGCTCAGCAATATAAAGCATCAGGCTTTGATGCAGGAGTAAAATTCAATTTTAAGAAATCCTTGAAAAGATCTTGTTCCCATCCAGCCGTAATGTACCTGTGATGCATACGTGCATCATCTTAGTACCAATGCGTTTCATAGAAGGCAAGCTGTGTTTTCAGGCACATGTGCTTTTTAAAATCCTCATAGAAGACACTGGTGTTGTAGCCTTTTTGGGGAATGAAATATTTTTGCCTCTGAGTATTATAATTCAATTTGTAAGCCATGACCCCTCATAAACTGCTGTTATCACTCTGATTAATAAAGAGTCAATTTGCTGTTGCAGCTCCGTCACTTGGGGAATGATGAGGTCCACATCGTCTGGTCTGAACACTCCAGGGACTACCGCAGGGGCATTATCCCAACTGCCTTTGGAGATGTTTCAATCATTATTTACCCAATGAAGAATCACATGTTCTTTATCGCTATCACGAAGAAACCCGAGGTACGTTTTCACCACATTATTGCTCTGACTCATACAACATTTGCCATATGATTCACCATTATTGACAACAATGATAGTAATATGCTAAAAGAGAATTTTTTCTAACTGATGAATGTCTGACGTGTATATGAATCACATATGCTATATAGAATTAAATATGAGTTGGGATTTTCAAAGAATCTTTCATCATGAGTACAGAAATCTGTATTTTATTACTTAGGCTCTTTGAAAGTTATAATGTAAAGACATTTAGGATTTTTTTAATGTTTTAAATTTTTAAAAATTTGTAATTTAAGATAAAGTTATAATTTTAAATTTGAGGCGCATTGATTAATAACAGTAAGAGTTGAACGAAGCCCATATTACATCTAGCATTTTGTGCATGGCTGTGAGTATATGATCCAACATTGCCTGACAGATGGGCGCTGCTCACCAAGCCTCTGCCTGTGCTGATCGGGGTCAGTCCTGAAGAACTGTGGCATGTCCATGAAGAGGCCGGACCTCTGTAGCACAGCCCGTGTGGTGATTTTCAACAATTGAAGTACCTTGACACAGAATCAGTCCGGCTGTGTCAATTGCTATTGATCATGGGAACGGCTAGAACAATCCAATGGTTGTGTGCCGTGTGCTAAATTGGCTGCAGTTTCCATCCTTACCATGCCTTTACTGGTATTTTAGGGGTGCTTTATATAGTGACTTGTTTTCATTTCGGAATTATTAATATAAGGGCTTTTTATTTTAAGTTTTTTAATTAAACATTTAGCTTATTAAGTCACTCCTCTTCAAGAAGATGACTTTGCATCTTTCAGCTTGATATTAAATATAATTTCATTTTCATGTCAAATTGTTCTCCTGAAGAAAGTAAAAGTTACCATTCTAAATACGCTCTCTTTTTAATCTTTAAAATAACAAGTAACTGAGATTTTGATATTTATAACCTAATCTAAAGTGTTAAAGTTGTAAGGATTAAATGAGTGGAGAATTGAAAGGTGCTCGAACAGTGCCTGGCCCAGAGCAAAAGCTACTTAAGCGTTAGTTGTTGCTGTTGTTACCTTTTTTTTTGTTATAGTTACTACATTGAAAATAGATTAAATAATGAGACCCAGGTTTAGCATGCTTATTATTTCTCAGCCTAGATTCAGTGTGGTTCAACTCCTGAATTCACAGAAGTGAACCACTCTGGCTGGTGAGGAGCCTGACATAAAGGAACTCTCTTTTCTGTTCCGGGAGCAAAGATGCCAAAAGTTCTTCATTTTAAATATATATCTTATCGCTCATTCAGGTTTCTGTGTATGTTAAGTTTTCACTTTTGTATAAGAAAATGTCTCTTCTGCTAATAATATTTGTGTTTGACCATGAAGAACACTGCTTTAATTTTAAGAATTAAACTGAAAATTTTAATATTAGACAACGAGTAAATTTACTATCCTCTAGCTTTCAAAACTGAAAAATGTGTTTCTTTAATATTTAGTATGGATTAACTGGCTTTATTAGTTCATTTTCAGCATGGCCCTCTAAAATGCCATTTAGTGTCCTAAAAATGTTGCTTATTTTTAATAGTAAATAAAGAACATAAAAAAGATATTTCAATTCACTTTCTGGTGTCTAAAGTGATTTTTAAAAAGGTATTATTACACTTATAATGCATGAAAACAAGTATTAATATACCTTTTCAAATTTCTTTAAAAAATGTGTGTCTTATAAATTTGGTCATAAATTCTGACAAGATGAATTGAGCAAATCACTTTCTTAATATTTCAATTCAAAAAGCCTAAAGGGAAGAAGAGAATAATGGCCAACTGGAAATTTAGTGTTATCCTCACGTTTAAAGTACAAACCATTACAATGTAATAAAATTAATCCCGACGTTTCCAGGGCAAGTGTGGCTGACCTTTTGTTCACCAACCACTGACCCCAGGGTGAATGCAAGAGGCTTGTGGAGGGAAAGTCTGTTTGTTTGGCTTCAGTCCCTGGTATTTAAATTGCATTCCCTAATCAAATGAAAAGGCTGTCCTCTCTATCAGGTTACAGAATCCATGGCAACATTTGGCCTTTTATATCCATAATGTTAGCCTTTTTGTTTGCATCTAAGTAGAGACACCTGGAGCAATGTTAACATTAACCGATTTAGCATTAATAGCTTCATTATATAAGAATTTCTGATCAGATAGCTGTTACTTTTGTTATATTGCTTCAGCTTGTATTGTTGTCATTTTTTATCTCCCTGCTTGGCAACCAGGCAATGATTTGCAAATTTTTTTTGTCTTGATTAATTAAGCAATATAATTATCAGTAACCGTGATGCAGTCTTTGCTCAACAAAGCTTCTGAGAGAAAACAATGGTAAGTCTGTTAGTATGAATGCATTCCACGCGTCCCAGATGCATGAGGATATTATGGACAATGAGGGGAAAGGCCGCCTGTGAGCGAGGACAAAGGGTGCCACGCAGACTCGACACACTGCACATACCGCCAGGGACATGCTGCGGGCTCCCTGGGACACAGACGCCTCGTTAGATTACAGCTAGTCAGCAGAGATTAATTCTCAGCCATTTGGTGCCATAATTTACCCATTCCCCAGTCTTTTAACTAGTGCTCCTTACTATGGAAGTGAAGGCTTTGTACTCAAAAGGTTTATTTAACCTTGTCTACTTTTAGGGATCTCCACCAAAATCACTATTTTTGCTTAGAAATTGTAATGACACAGCTGCTTAAAGTTGAGGAATATTCCTTTTGGGAGGACGGGATATGCACAAGCTTCAGAAATTGTAGGTAAACTCAAAGGCATTCTTTTAGCACCTGTATGTTTCATCTGAATATAGTGTGACTCTGTGGTCTAAGTACATTTATTTTACTGGTCTCTGAGCAGCCATACTTCTGTAAGAATAATTTTAATCCTTTTTTAGGAGGAAAAAAACCTCATCAGTACACAAAAGTCCTGCTCATTGGATAGAGTCATGCATATTCAAATTGTACTTTCATTCACTCAGCCTCATTAATAGCGTATGTAATAATGTAGGGCCATTTGTAATACAAGCTCACAGGCAGCATTGCTTCCAAGTCCTTTGAAATTTAACATATTTCGCTTTTTCATTCCATACACCTCCCTTAAATATACAAATTATGTGCCTGGCAGAATCCGCCTCCTCTTAATAATACACAGCATTTGTGAAATGGTATGTTGGAGAAGTGTGGGTGTGCTTGCGTGAGCTCATAAAACCCTCACATCTCAGAAGCCCTGCTCACTTTTCTAGCTTTTTATTGAACTTTTTTTAAATAAATAAATAAAAATCAGTGGACTTAGCAACATGATTGTTACTTTTAAAATAAGTCAATCTCCATAAATATTGACACACTGGTCTTTGGTCACGGAAAAGAAATGTGCTATCGTCAGACTTCTATTTTTTCCTACTTTTCTCACTAAGTCAGTGGTCAGGGAAGACTTACATTTAGAGCAGAATATGAGTGATTTAAAGGTTTGTTAAAATGCCTAGTTTGTTCTGCAGAACATCGTTGGTAAAGCCTCCATGTTGCAGTGAGTACCCAGGTTTCTTTCCTTCTTTCAGTAACTGAAAATAATGTTGGTGTTCAGAACATTTGCTTTTATGAATTTGTGAAGGTAAGTTTTAGTGTTTTTGCCATGTTTCTCTCCAGGCACATTAGTTGCTGGCTGGTGACTGTCTGACCAAAGGGTAGACTTGCTGAAGCAACCTTGACCGGGAGCAGTTAAGACAGGAGGAAGCCTTGATGAAGTGTCTTCCTTGTCACCTCAACCAGAGTGTCCATTTCATAAATGAAAAACATGTTTATGTCCTCCAAACTCTACTTACTTGGCCCTGGTAGATATGGACATGGAAGAAAAATGGATAACGATGCAATCGTTTCTGAGAAGCCTAGCTGGAAAGAGTAATAGGATAGAAGATAGGACCCCAGGGTTCCAGTTCCTGTGCTGCTACAAGTGGGTGGGTGTCTTGGGCAAGTCTCTCTATTTCTTTGGACCTTAGCTTCCTCAGCTGTAACATTCAGGTTGGGACCAAGGTATCTATGCAGTCATTTCAGGGATTCTAAGTGCCCCTTTAAGTCAATGGGCCCTCGCTGGATCCTCTTGTTCCTAGATGGCGCATCCTTTCCCTAAGTTGTCCCTACTCACCAGGCTGCTGTTGAGGTGGTGTCTGGTTCCCTTACAGACTCAGCAGCCATTGTGAGTGTGTGTGTGTGTGTGTGTGTGTGACCCTCTTCAGGATGATGGCTAGCCCAAAACTTCCACCTGAAGCAGATGCCCAGAAATGCTGGTTAAGGCTGATGCACCAGAAGTCACAAGAGCATTTGCACATGTGAGGTCGAGAGGAGCCAGTATTGGCACCTGTGTTTGAAAGGAAATCGTTTAATAGTGTTATAGTATTATGTAGGGAGTGTGTTTGACTGCAACATGGCTATGTACATTTCTTTATTTTTATTTCAAATGTGCAATTTTCTTAAATATTTATCTCAGCCCCAACCAAATAACCTTTTATAAGATTAAGTCATACACTTTAAAATACTCTGGGAAATTCTCAGGGAAAGGTAAGTTGTTAACTTTTGAATACGTAAAGAATCGTTTATTTTGAAAAGGTAATTGAAAATACTGAATAATCAGAATTTACTAAAATACATTATTAAATGCATTACTGCAATATGTTGTTTTGATAACTTATTATTATTACTGATTTTTTTAGTAAAGGAGTGACACTGAGAACTTTATGAAAAGGCAGCTGTCATTTGCAGATTTTATAGCAAAATCAAATTTCTTCTCTAATTCATTGTCATTCCTAATTAGAGGAATTCCCTGGATACAAGGGATGTATATTGTTCCTTTTGTCCAGTTTTTGAAAGACTATCTGAGTCACCCACAAGCAGTTGCCAAAGAATAATAAAGAACATTTATTTTTAAGATAAGCCTCAATACAGATGGAAAAAAATCTATGACCTATTATTAACTTCTAGCTCCTGATTTATCGTTCA